ATACCCACCAAGCCTCATTCGATAGTCTGTCAATTATTTTCCTTTCCCATGCCACGATCTGCGCTTGCTCACATCTGTCAGTGAAAGTGAAATTGCTCGACTTTTTGTGCCAACGAGGCGAGCAACTAATGCGGACCAGTCCATTTTTGAGAACGATGCTTCTGAGCACCCTCGGATCCACGCTGTGAGTTCTATCTTTTTCGGCTCGCCAGCGGTGCACATGGCTGGCCCACAGGGGCCTGGGTCGATTAAATCGTGGACTTCCTATTTTGTTTGGCGACGAGTTGCATGTTTATTAGATGGGTTTCACAACTCATGTGGGTATTTTTGTCTGTTCAGAATATGTGTTAACGTTTGTACTCAGTCGACCGACTAGCAAATGACTGCCTTCTCGCTTTTCTGGCGCGGATCCCTAGTGCGGTCACCGCTGACAATTTTTCCAGCGAGAATTATGCGACTGTTCGGTCTAACCCATGTGACAATCTGTAAGCGCTCACATCGGTTAGTGAACGTGAAATTGTCGAACTGTTGCCTCCGTTTTTCAGAACGATGCTTCTAAGCCCCTTCGGATCCAAGGCGTGGGTCCTATCTTTTTCGGTTCGCCAGCGTTGCACATGTGATCGACGAGGGCCTGGGTCGCTTAGCGCGTGGACTTCCAATCTGTTTTTGAGTGCATTGCATGCTCAGCGGACAGACTTCATAAATCGTGTGTGTTTTTGAACCGTTTGAAATATGTGTTAATTTTCGTATTCAGTTAGCCGTGCTGCTCGCAGTCTCAACTTTCTCGCTGTTCCAGGAAATCCGCAGTATAGTCACTTTTCCAGAGACTTGAGCAACTATTTAAATCTTTCTGATCCCTGTGACGATGTCCGTTCGCTCAAATTGGTCAGTGAAAGTGAAATCGTTCAACATTTGCAACCAACGAAGTGAGTACCTAGTCCATTCACGAGAAGGCTTCTGAGCCTTGTTGGATCCGTTCCGTGGCCCTTCTGTTTCGGCCTGCCAGCGGTATGGCTAGTCTAAGAAAGCTGGGTGTTTTTTATCCGTTCAGAGTATGCATTGATCTTTGAATTAAGCTGAACGGTGGTGTTCGTGGTGGATGCCAGCTTCCCCACTGTTTCTAGCATAGATACCGAAACTTCATGATGCTGTTGCTCATGACAATTCAGTTCCTTTTCCCATGCTATCATTCTCATTGGTTAATGATAGTTAAATTCTTCGACTTTTTGCGCCAACAAGGTGAACCCCTAATGCGGACCAGGCCATTTATGAAAACTATGGCTTCTGAGCCCCATCGGATCCGTTCCGCATACCCTATCCTTTTCGGCCCGTTAGCAGCGCACACGACTGCATACGAAGGTCGGCTCAATGAAACCGCGGAATTCCTGATACACTAGCCAAAATTCACTCTGAAGAGAAGAGTCTTGGAGCTTGCTGTTATCTATCTCGACACTATGAGTCTGGACACCCCGACCCCTGGCACTCCACAGGCCATAACCCTCTCTGATGCTGAACCTGGAACCCGCTACAGAAAGACGGATGTATTTTTGTGTGATGAGCTGAATTGAAGGGTTTCAATTATGTGAGTGTTTTTTTGCGTGTTCGGAGTACGCACTAAGTGAGTCGACCGTATGTAATACTTGTAGCTTCTTTGCCGGCGCTCACTTGGCAGTCACGAATCGCCACGTCCTTATCTACTCTTCGCCACCGGAACGTCGATAGTCTCGGTCCTGGCCGAACAGAATCGCAATTACTGCGCAAAGTTTATTCGAAACTGCCGTTACTCACTGTGGTGCGGATTTTGATTGGGTTGTATTCGTGGCTCGAACGACACAGTCAACGTTCAGATTGCAATTATTAAAAACGCGCCTCGCTCGTTGATGACGGGGTTCGTGAGTGTATTTGATAATATGTAATTCACAAGTTGATGTCAGGCTAGTAGGTGGTATTTTTCGTCGTCGCATTCTCTCACAATATTTCTAGATCCACATCAGCTGCGACGCCCATATCCAGTGTCGTCACTGTGTTCATTAGACATATCTGGCATTGGGCGGGGCTTTCTCACCGGCTGGTCAATATGGGCCATAGGGGCCCGGAATCTCCAGTTCTCGGAAACTAGCGCATTATTCTTGCGACATCAAAAGCTGAGCACTGTTTTTCTGATCTACATCAGTTGCAACGTTCATATATGGTAGCATTCTGTGGGTTTTGTAGCCATGTTCACCGTTTGGCCTTCATGATCCCTTTTGCTAGGCTTACCTGAGTGTATCAGCTCTTGTGACATGGAAGGTAATCAAGAAGCCGAGTGCAAATGAACGATCTACAAAGCAATCTCGAACACGGATGTCTTTGATTTCATCTCGATTCTGAATAAGGATCGCGGTGCTATTTCACGGTGTAATCATGGATGTCTGTCAGTATCCATCAGCAGCTGCGCACTCCTGTCGTGCCTGTTCTGAAAGATATCAGATAAGCACGTTTTGTCACTTCTGCATCGCATCCGCATGCCGCATGAAAACCTATTTTCATTTCTATAGACCGGATTAAATATTACGCCACCCAGCGCCTCTGTCTGCTTGTACAATTGTGGAACTGGAAACGAACAGTGACCCCACCCTTGGAAGACGTCTTCGGTCTCACACATCTGTCAAAACGCCAGTGGCGCACGCGTCCTATCTGCACCCGCATCACGCTACCTGAATTTGCCAATCTCTTGGCCACAGCAGAGAAACGAAACGAGTTGGGCCATCGGGCATGTATGTTACCGGTGAGACCGTGGTCTTCCTGACGAATGTGCTCAACTTCAATATCACATGCAGATTTGGGGATGCTTCCCAGCAGCCCTGGTATCGCACCCCGGGGCCCGTTGAGCAGTGGACATTACAGAATATGATATGCATTTGGAAACCCCCGGCTCTGCTCACTCCCCGGCAACAAATAATAATAGAAGCTCTGAGCGGCAGATCGCGACGACTTTTGAATCGATTATGAAAATAATTGTGAATCTATATCTATGACAATTTTCAGTGCATGGCGGCGCACGTCTCAACCACGTACGAACAGACACTGGACCTTACGCAAAGCACCGACATGATCATAACGACAGGCATAGGACATGGACAAATATGATATTCATAATATTAATTGTGATGTCTGCCGTTTCCCCAGTTTATTGGTATAACAAGTATACATGGTTGCTAGCAGTAGGGGGGGCGTCGGGCTTAAAATGAAAATATGTGCTGAGGTAATTTATGTTATCTTAGGAGTCCCGTGGCCCGAAATGGAAGTGGATGATGCTCTGAGCCTAAACCATGTTCGGTGTCAGTTGGCGCGTAGGGCGCGGAGTCAGGCTCCACCATGCAAACTCTCTCGCTTATCAACTACTGCCACACCAGTGGCAGCTTCTACTTTTCATGATCGGCGTCTTCCTCAAACCTCTACAACCCTTATAGTGCTTAAATTATCATCAAGAAGATGATCTCGTGCTCTGCTCAAGACCCGTGAGCGCGGGAGTCGTGACATGATAAAGAGAAATTGTTCTCAATATGAATGTCAACTTGACGCTTACTAAATGCCATCTAGTCTCTCACTGAGTACTTCTTGTCAACGACACATTTTCCCTTGTTGCCGGTGAATTTTTGTTGACATCTCTCTGGCCTGCTGACTGGATCTGCAAGTGACTAGAGGTTTCCCTGGTTCAGCCATGTCCACTTTACAACCGAGTCTGCGTTCATACGGAATGCCTTGTTTCCGATTACATGGTACGTCAAGTCAAGATGGTATCATGTATAATATTATTATTAATGAGCGCATTTTCCCCGCAATAACCAGCAGTAATATCGCCGCGTACTTATTTGCACAGTTGACGATTTGTCTTTTTGGCGTATTCTTCAATCACGACCCTTCCTACTCTCCTCCCCAGGATCCACCCTGATCCACTCCATTATCTAATACGTAATGGTACCCGACCCGACCTCTGGGATTGTGTATTATTACGGCCGTTGCCGCGGCGACTGCTTCCGCTACTTGGGTCCTGCTCAGATGATAAATTCCCCCGTTTCACGGACTTCATACTACCCTGACTTTATGTATTTACAGCCAACTTCACGGCGTGACAGCTCGTTACTCACCCCGCGACTATGGCACCTCACGAATCCAATGGACTTATCAAGACTATTTCTCCCTCACAATACATGTTTTCAAACTCAACTTGGATAAATTGGTGCAAAGCAACTGATATATGTAGGTGAATATGATATGCTGTGGATCGGCAAGTCAGCTGAAGACCGTTTGACTGGAATTGCTAACAAGGTTGAAGAGATACTCGGACATACTTGACCTTGACGCGCTGAGTCCATCAAGCCTCCCATGGGCGACTATTGGAAGCTTTGGGGCCGCCAGCGTGACTTCCTTGTATCATGCGCCACTTGCTCCTCTTCTATACCGATTTCAGCTAAACATAGGCCGATGTCATCATTTGGCAAGCTGATCATAATCCTCGGACCTACCATTTGGCAGTTTTATCTAGTTTTATAATACCGATTCACGGTTTTCACTGGGCCGACGTGTCTAGCGCTCGCCTTGGTGCTAGAAACAGAATTCTGAATCTCACGTTCTGCGTGCTTCTCAAGTTCTTTGTTCTAGATCATGGACTCCTGGTTTGCAATTCAACTCGAAAGGCAAAAAGGTCGATCCCTTGGGGTACACTGCGGGCTTTCACAGGTGGAAGGTTACTACGTGGCACGCAACAAGCTTGCGATAACGTTGTCAGAAGGCCGCATCAAGCGTGCGCTCGATGTTGCCCACGTTCGGCTTGAGAATAGTCTATTTTGAGTTTGGAACGGTTGGCTGGGGTGCTGGTACGGATTCTTATGGTACAACCGAGGTGGGTTTCCTGCTCTTGTTCGCGGATGGCATACCAGTTTGTAGTTGAGAACCTGATAAGCGGAAATAACTTTTTCTTCAATGTCGTTCTCGCTGGACGTGCTAATTTTCCCACTTCTTCGGGTCATCCAGGGGTACCAGGCACATCCATCTTTGGCATCGCAAAATTCTCGAACTCAGGTCTCGAGGGTCATCAAGCGATCACACAGGTGCTTATGTACCAGAGATAACACATTTGTATACACTATAACCTTTTAAATATCCTGGATCAACAATCAACCATGTCATAGTTTCGCGGGATTCGACCACCTAGGTTTGCGTCTCTGCGGAAGAGCGAACGGAAAGAACACGTCAATTTGATTTTAAATGTCATAACCTGTGCAATATACCTCCGAGAAAGCCGCCAGGCCCTCCTGGATTAACGTCAGAAAGGAAGAAGGATGAATATTGTATACTCCATAAGACAAGTATGACGTGACGTGACGTACCCTGATATTCGCGCCGTGGTACAGGCGTTTACTCACGAGACTCATTGAGTGAGTTTGTACAGCTTCTTCGAAATGGTGTTTCTGCGCAAGTACAAGACCTTCCTTTGAACTCTGTACGGAGTCGGGGGAGTTCATGGTGATCTGTCGTGCGATGTCCAGAGCAGTAGGTACAACGGCCGACTTTTCGACGACGAGGTTGACACTGCGGTCCGGAAGTATACGCATGAGTGTCAAGAAGCTGTCTCTGTGACTGGCGGCGATTGTAGGCTTGACTTACAAACGAAATCTGTCTCTAGCTTGAATGGCAGTGATGGTATTTCCCAAGAGCAACATCTCAGAAGCAAGCTACGCCCCGAGATTTTCTCAGTGAGCGGAGATACCCTGTGAGTTTATTCACGCCGAAGCGATACCTGATGTCCCGCAACTCTCCCTAACCTGGGAATAACTGCAAGTAAAACGAATCACCGATCAGTAAAGTTTATAAACATGCCCGCCCCCCGCTTCGGTTTTCCAAAATAATCGACGAGGCCAAGGCTGGAAATGGAAATAGGAAATGGAATGACTGATGCGGCATTTGCTCACCTCCTTGTGACGCTAGTACACCACGCTTGACTTCGGGAAGTGCGAACACGGCGTCTTCGCTTGCGATGACCATATCGCAATTTAATATCATTTCGACACCGCCACCGTAAGCCGACCCGTTCACTGCGGCGATCATAGGCTTGCACGAAGTATGCCGACGCGAGATAGATGCAAATCCGTGCACGGAAGAAGCCACACTTTCTTGTTCATTTGCCGTGCCACTTGACTGATTGTGAAGCCAGCTGAGTGTGAAAAATGAAGGGTCGAGGGAATGAGGAAACAAGAGGATAGCAGAGCATTCTCCTATACTTACGCCTTCAAGTCGGCTCCTGCACAGAAAGCACGGCCTTCGCCCGTTACGATCACTACCCTTGGAGTACGAGGTTGAATGAGATTACCGATAAGGTGGATGACGGCACTCACCACAGAGAGGGTTCCTCATCAAACCAATTTAAAATGGTAGCTATGCTGGTGGTAAGTCGAGGTGTCATGGCGTTGAGGTGCCTCGGACGGTTGAGTGCCATAAGCATGACATGTTCTTGAGGGAAAGACACTTTGAGTTCTTCCGAATGAGAAGGCGGGTGCAAGGCTAGCGGGTCCCAGTCGGAAGACATGATATGAAAACCGTTTGTGGGGGGTACAAGCACAGGATTTGGCGATAGACACGGATGGAGTCGGATTGTCGGCTGCCGGATTGGCCGGGGATGGGAAAGATAGAGGGCGCTTAAACATTTGAAGCCAAGGTAATCCAAAGAAATCACCCTCGAATTCAAACCGAAATTCGAGGGCTTGGACCAGAAATAACTGTATACGATAATATTTCTCGAGGTCACATGGAATTGTGATATTACGCCGACAAGTACGACGGAGAAGGTCGAGTCGGACTCGGACGGCCGAGTGTATGATGGGCGTAAGGGCGTCGTCACATCTTCAACGTCAACGTTCGTCAAACCCTTGTTCCATCTCGCTTCACGATAAGCTTCTAAATCGTCATACTTGCGGATAGTTCGGCGAAGATGATAGAGAACAGACAGGACAGACACGTTTTTTAGAGCCGTCCCTTGGATCAGATTCCGCGATCAGTATTCTTCTCTAAATCTTGTCCAAATCTAAGACACTTTCCCTTCTTCCCCACACCCGTCAGCGGAACAACCATCAGAGCCCGAACGACACGTGTTCCTCCGTATAAGCAACGAAGCATCATGGGTATCCACGTGGGACTTGGAGGAGGTGGAACCGAGGGAGTGACTTCATTTCCGATGTAGCTTGTTGTTCGGCCATCAGTATATGCACGCCATGTTACAATGAATGTGTACCATCCGTTTGAGACGTGTTACTGACGTTTCAGCACGGTTTTCGGTCCGGCAAATAATGATGGTTGTTGCAGTAATAAGTCATACATACAAGGAATACGGCAAAACTGTGAGCCTAAATTATCCTGCCGCCCCGAGGAATCCGCATACACAACCTCCTCCTCCCTCCCTGATCCTACAACTGCGGTGAGACCTCGACGACTAAAGTGCTTATGCACGGAGTATAGATGTATGTTGATACAACAGATGGTATCGAAGACAACATGGATGGATGATGGGTGGATGATGAGAACAATTGCCTAGGATGAGACATTTGAGTCACTTGACAATGTGAAACAATAAGAAAGATGACTTACGAGCAAACAGAATAAATATAGTCAAAAAAGTGTGATTATTGTGTGCTCAGCGGAATGGACAGCTTGGGGAGTGGGATCCGCGCCAGCCACAGTGGCAGCACTGAGGTGCATTGAAGTTGAAGCAGGAGTCATCATCTGATGAGATGCGCATTGACACGGGAGTGGTATGAGAGTGGCGCGTGCAGTGATGCGAGTTGGATGATGATGATGACTCGTGTTCGAATGATGATGCAGTCTTGGAAGACATGTCAAGAGTAGAGCCAGAAGCGTGCATTGTGTAGTAGTAGTAGTAGTAGAGGAGAGGTTGGTTGGTAGGTTGAGTGATTTAAAAGAAAGAAATTTGCTCCACCTTTTATGCGTTTTCATTGTGGCAGCCGGTCATACTTCCGTTATCGGCTGGTAGACATAGACAAAACGCATCCGATGGGCAGAGTATACTTGCGGGTTGTGGCGTCACTGATGAACCAAATCTGTAATCAGCGTAGAACAAAAAAGGAAATCAGGGAACCTTGGAGAAGTTCAAGCCCATGACCCCTCGAAGAAATCAACCAGTGCCCCAATCAAGCATTTTCGTACATCAATTTCCTTGAGCGCTCACAGCCAGGGCATCCCATCCACCACGATAACCTTTCGAGGCCATGTTGCACCGGATCCTTGCTTTCGGGTCCCACCTGTCTTTTTGACACGATAACGTACTAAGTACTGGAAGTCCATCTATATCTAACTCAACTTGGACATGTTGCTTGCTCAAGTCACACAGCAATGGCCCCGAGATCTGGCAGTGTCTGTGGCATGTACATACGCACAATTTGATTGACAATTTACATTTCAATCTACAAAGCCATGTCCTCGAGAATACGCACGACGCTCACACGATCCGGCACCCGTTTAAACATCTCCCGCTAATCGAGGAACCAACCCACCTTGTTTTCAACGTGTCCCCACGGCACCGCATTCCACGACCTGTTCAACTACGTTTAAGACGTTTCACAGCCGGAACACCAATGCTATACCAGGCAACATACTCAATCCCGATCGCGTGGGGCATGAAGACAGGAACATGATGTGACCGTTCCTGCATAGCGTTATATTGGCAATCTCGTTATTATTTGACCGATCGTAAAGACAGAACTCAACTGTCAGTCCTTGAAGCCTGTATTATCGAACTTCACAGGTATGACTTCATCAAATCAGGAATTTTTTTTTCACGTACCAAGCAGAATTCTGTGCAAAAACCAAGAATTTTTCGTTGGCAATGCCGTAGGCCCCAAACTTTCATTGCATCGGACTTCTAGAAACCGAATAATCCTACAAGATCAGTTATTCCCCCACCGCGTGGGTGGCTAGGTTGAATGGGGCTATGCGCACTTATGAATGAATCGGAAAGTATTATCATGCCCGCATATACCAAAGTCTAATTCAGTGGATTTGGTTAGCGCGTCAGTTCGCTCAAGGCACCCACAGACAACCACCTCATGTTGGTTTCCAAGCAAATAGATCATAGATCCCATGTAATATTCCATATTCCAAATGCCAGCACAACTTTTGGAGATATCATTCCTCAATCTGTCCATCAGACCACTTGAAACAACCAAAGACAAACTTGGCACCGCACTACCACTAGTGGCATGTAGCATCAAACTTGCCTCTCTACACAGCCGGGTGAAATTTAGACCCGCAGTGCAGGTTACCCAGGAGGAATGACACATGTAAACATACCACTTATCGAAACAGAAGGCAAAACAAGGTTCCGGGGCGATCGGTCATCATGCCATCAAGCCTTCTCAGGCCTTGAAAGGCACTTTGCACCGGCTATAATGCGTTAAACGCGAGGTCTTCCCAGACTTCCTCTTCAACCCCGTTCAAACATCCCAGAATAACTTTGATTGTACCACCGGCATTGTACTATGAGCGATAGATATGATAGCCAAGGGGGATGTGACTTGAGCGGCATGATGTAAAAACGCATGCTGCACCGATAACGAAAAATATTGCGTACATTTTACAAATGTTCTCGATCCTCATCACTTGACAACTATCGCATGACGCCCTCCACTATCCTGATCCTCCTACACCACCTTTCTTCGGCATCTCAGCATACCACTCTGGAATCTCATTAGCCTTGGGAATGGCTCGCTTGCGAAGTTCTTTGATCTCCCTTTCTTCTTCCGCATCTCGTTGTCTTCGGCGCTCCTCTTTTGCTCGTTGAATCTCCTCTTCCTTTATTCGCACCATTCGGTCAAATTTCTCCCTCTCTCTGGCGCGAATTTCGGTGCTAAGGGCTATCGGTGCTGCGGGTACTATCGGGACGACGTGTTCCTTACGCCATGCAAGTGATGCTTGGTGGGCCTCGTGTAGTACCTTGAAATCGGGCACAGGATGCCTTTGTCGGAGCCCCTTCTCCATATAACCTTGCTCGCTAGCCGCAAGCTTCTCAAACTCAACTTTACGGGCTTCAATGCGCGCGTCCAGTTGGAACGTAAACGCAATAGGCTTTGTGATGTTGGCATGTGGCAACGACATGCTCTGTGCGTCCGAATATCACAGCCAACAATCAGCCATGCAAAAATAATATTGTATGAGCGCACATAAGATAGGGATTCCGTTAATTAATCACGTACCGTCTTCTCAAGAGGTGACACACGGCCAGGTTTAGATGATCCTAACTGCTCGAGGGGTGACGCAAGGCCAGGTCTAGATGGACCCAACTGCTCGAGCCCCGTAACTGCCGCATCTTTCTTACTAACCGCATCAAAGTGGACCCGGGAACTACCCGACGTTCGGCATTGTGACACGACCGCGCGACTAGAGACTCCCTCCTGTCCCTGAATATTTTTGTCTTGTTCCTTGCAGATCGTCTGGTTGCGCAGCGACGATGATGCAATCGACGTAGACCGCACCTGGCGTTGGAAGTTCTGTCTGGGTTTATACTTGGTTCGCGCGCTTGGAAAATTTGACGTCGGACACCGCGAATTCCGACTGATAAGCATTGCGCTGGCATGTGTATGGTTCTTCTGAATAGATGGCCGAAGAACTTGGCTAGATGACCTTGCCGAGATAGTCAGGCCACCCTTGGCCTCGGCGCTTGATGCCAACGGTTTCACCTTGAACTTCTTGCTGCCACTTGGCTGTTGGGAAGCGGAATGTTCCTCAGTGGCCGGGCGCTTCCTCGCCGGTCTCATGGGTGATAGCTCCTGCTTTCCCGTGGATAAATGGCCGGGGGAGGCGCTAGCTCGTGGGTGATACTTCTGCGGTGAAATTTCTGAAAGCCTCAATAAGTAATCATTACGACTTGAAGTGTCCGGTGAACATGGGGCATGCAGAATGTCGACCGCAGGTGAAGGTTGAGTTTCGATGTATTCTTCCGTTCTAGCAACACTAGTACCCGTACCTGCCATGAAGGAATTTTCGGTCCTGGGATCATAGATGCTGGGGAATCCAAGTGATGGCATTTCCAAGAAAGGTGACCGGAGATCATGTCAGATCGAACCATAATTCCCGATTGCGATCACAAATATATAGAAGGAGAGAAAGAAGGAGAGAAGAGCACGCGCGAGGTACAACTGGTCAGTTCCGGTGCAAATGCAGTGAAATGCGTATCAGCAGACATACCTAATCGATGACATTAATTTTTGACTGTAAGACACGAGGCGTTCAGCCACCCTTCCGGTCACGCCTTGGCTGGCGCTTGAGACCATGTGATTATCACCACTCATACCTGCGGATGGAACTTGGAATTCGGCATCTATGGCCACGTTTTCTGACTCAGACATCCTCATAGAAGACGACTGCACAGTCGGTTCGGCAATCGAAGTTGGACCAAGTTTGTCAGCGGTAGACATAGGGATCCTGCTGTGCGTTGCTAGCTTCGTGTTACGGCCCCCTTCTATCGCCTACCACAGAATGATGAGCTCATACTGATTGCGAATGGGAGTTAGCTTACAGAATTGATAGTTGTCCTCGGCTTTAACTTTGAATTTGGTGCTGCCGTAACATTTAGCATAGGAAAAACAGAAGATCGTGCAACCGCTAGTGGCTCCACGTGCATTGGGATATTATAATCATCATTGAGGGTTCCCACTCCTGCGCGTAAGGAGTCCAGGCGCTCCTCGGAAACGGCGGGCCCGTCTAGTACTATTTCCTTACGTCTAGATGGAGGGCGCATCATTTTGTTCGCCTTGGCAGGGCTCTGACATCTGGACCGTACAGGTCTGCAGTCAATCTTCTGGGGTGCTAACGAACTTGGACTAGGTGATCTTGATAGCGATAACAGTTGCGAGGCGGCTTTCGGTGTAGCATCACCAAGCTTCAATTTTCCGCGGGCTGGAGTAGGAGCAATGGTGGCGAAACTGGCACCACCGGCTCCGCGCAAAAAATCAAGATCACTGCTGTCATCTGCAAGCAGAAACTCCGCGGATGATGAATCGGCGGGGATCTGGAAAGAAACAGATGTATCCAAGAGGTTTGGTAAGTGTCTTATTCTTTTGTCTGTGTTGGCTGTTGGCGGCATGGTGTGTGCAGACTTGGAGGGTGTTCAACAGTTCCAACTTGCTACGTCGGAGAGAAGGAGAGGGCGTGTGAATTATTTCTGACGCGTCAACAACACGTGCACTTGATTTGACGCGACTGTGACAGCCACAATAACAGCGAGAGTGACAGACCGTCACGGATATACCTAATTGGTGTCAAATGCAAACGCTCCTGCAGGTTTGCTTCAATCAAGCAAAATCTCCCGCATCAATACTATTTAGGGTATACATATAACGGCCTCCAGGCCTGCTCTGACATTCCAGCCCATCCTAGTGAATTTCTTCTCAGTCCTATCAAACAAGTAAAACTTTCCAACTCAACCGTGACATCCTCATTTGTCTTTTTTCAGCCTTGAAGATACACAGCTCTCGTCGGTGTTCTCACATTATTATGACGCCATCTAACCTATATCTAACAAGCACTGCCGCCTGTTCCCGGGAGGACCATGCTCTTGCTTTCATAGCCCATTCAAAACCGTCTCAGGTCTTAGCATACGTCAAACGCTCCAAATCTGTAACTCAATCTTTTTTTGTATGTCGGACATTACCACGATGGTTTCCCACTCCATGAACACGTCGAGGCTTAGACTTCCCAATGGGCCTAACCAACTTTCTGGCAGTGCTTGACATTCTTTTATTTCTAGACGTTGTCTTGGCCTGTATCCAGTGAGTAACCACAACTTAATGCCAACGTTTACATCTCGCCTTGAATCTTCCTTCCCCCAAGCCCTTATCCTGTCGAGATTGGACGCTGAATCAATATCATATCCATACGTCCATTTATGCACATTTCCCACCTTTCCCCGCATCGTGCCACGACATTCCCACATTTCAACCATATGTCTGCTGAGCGATGAGTATTCACGCCCTCGATAAGTGTTCCCGACTTTGCCGTTCCATCACCTGTTCGAGACTTCTGTTTCTAATATGCGATATCACCGCGTCGTGGTTCGCACGCGCCAGCAACTTCTTTCACCTTCCTTTCTCTACGAACGTATCTTACCCCGCAATACAATTCAAATGCTTACCATCCTGTCACCTCTTCGGGTAAAATGCTCGCGGGTCAATCTTGGTCCGCCGATGTCGCTGACTGAATACAATGACGATCACTAGGCTATCTTCTTTCCGGAACCGTACTCCTTTCCAACTGCGTGGTACATTTGTCAAGACTTTATCCTCCTTTATAACTTCGCTTGGATTTCACCGGTACCCTCGCACGTCCCCTTCTATGTGTGGGTAATGTGACTCGAAGGGGAATCGGTGAAGGAGTTTGACGCTGGCAGGTTATACATCGTATGGTCACTTGCTCCACCCAGGCACCGAGATTTGACCCCAGTCATGAGCTTGCTCTCGATTCAAAAATAGTTCGATATTCGCCTGATTGAGTCCAAGTGGTGTCAACACTCAGAATTGTCTGGATTCAACGTGCGAGCCCGTCGTGAGTTCGAACGGCTCGTCCTCGGTCCGCTAGTCAAACCCGTGGGTTAGCAACCGAACTCTAAGAAACATAGCAAACTTAGGGGAAGGTAAACGCAGGGTCGAGTGTCATAGACAGTCAGGAGCTTGTAGGATAAGGATACCGTGTGCATTCTGTCTAGTTCTTGTCTCTGCATTTGACACAGCCAATTCGAGCTTCCGGCAGGTGACAGATCTGACTATACTGCCTCGTCAAAGAAGGCTCGACCAATATTATATATAGTACTTGTATAATCAAATACCCAAACCTTCCCGTGTACACCGCGTTTGTTTACATGCGATCAAGAGGGTGTCTGTCTGCTTCGCTTATGTGAATATCCAGCTGGTACTTCCCGATCTCAATTCTTTCTTCTGGCGATAATCCATCGGGTGACTCGTCCCGCACAAGTTCGGAGAGTGCATCCAAAAGCTTCTTTGCGAGAATAGGGAGGTACCCACGCTCGGTGTTTGTATGTCCACCTTGATATCATACGTTCAATGACGAGACTTCCGTCACGCGTAAGTCAACTCACATAGCATGACGTACCGACCCCTTGCGACTGCTCCAAGGACCTCGTGCTGCAATCATCGTTAGGAACGTAAGAACGGAAGAGGAATCTAACCATACATGTTGCATTTCTCCCGTGAAATACACATCGGCGTCAACTCCTGAAAGTAACGATCCCCCGGCACCAGCGCAAATTGCGACCGATTTGATTGATTTTTGAACAAGCGGCCGTCCTACGTCAACTGTACGTTCATGATAATCAGACATTCGTGATAGGCACGGGAGATGCACGGTAGACCTTGTGACAAAACAAGATGCTTCTTTACTCTCTGGACAAGTTCCTCAATAGGAATCGGTTCATCAAGCGTCACGATCCGGCCGGCACCACCTGCTTCTCCCTTGACTTCTCCCAGGATGTCGACTTTTCCAGTAGCCTTTTGGAGACCCATGACGCCTTCTGCAAGCCAGTCGTTGATACCACCCCAAGTCGCATCGAGGCTTGAGTGAGGGCAGAAGACTGACGTCCCTGCGGCGGAGAGCTTGAGCAGTGATGCTTGCAGTGGGTTTGCTAATGTGAGAGAAGTAATGGGTTGAAAGAGGGGTGGATGGTAGGTTATCACTAGTGCTGTAGGCACTTTTAATGTCTCCTCGAGGACAGCAGTGGTCAAACTAGAGGACCCTTGTCACTACAGATTGCATGTTGATTGCGAAGCAATCCTTGTTGATGTGTTCCACTTACTCGATCGTCAACACCACGCGCTTTGCGTCGGACCTTGGAACGGGAGATTCTGTGACACTAGATAAGTGATACCGAGCTTTGATGCATCATGATGGGGTATTTACCTATGATGAGGCCTACCTGCCAATCAGATGTTTCAGATCACCGTATCGGATGACGTCGCTGGTGAATGGTACAAACTTTATCCCATGATTCAGCGAGCCGGAGCGGTGCAATTCGTTCCAACGCCTTGCACACGCTTTTCACTACGATGGACATTCTTGCAGAGTGTGATACCCACACTAGGTTATTTAAAGACCAACCTTGAACAAGCACGCAAGCAAATCAGGTTGGTTACTATGTGATCCCCGTCTCCCACAATTAGCGGGAGCTTTGCATGCGTGCGAACTTATTAGTTCAGCTGGAATTCTTTGCTTTCACTCCCATCTACACATCGTTCCGCGCCTCCCTCTAGTCTGTCTTTCATCTTTTTTACCATCTAAACGAGTCCTCCTTGCATGCGGTGTTGTGTTTGGTATATCTACTGGCCTCGTTTGAAGGTCAGTCTCAAATCTGTCGCATTGTCTATTACAAGCTGGCTCACCATTCTACAGGCCGCATCTGTGGTAAAGCTTCCGTTCCGCACTCCCCGGGCGCCTGTCGAACACTTCTGTCCTCCTGACCTTGTTCCTCACGATATCACTGCTTGTCTCTTTATTAGTTCCAATATCACACCTGTCACTTTGAAAGTTACAAATCGTTTTGCACCTGGTCAAACCTATCGCCTTTGGTGGCTATGTCATATTCGATGTTGGATCAGTATCTGGTGTGGCTCTACTATGGCGACAACCATCATCTCTGCTGTGCTTTACCAGTGTGTTGGCGCTCGGGTCAAAAGCCACGTGTGGACCCAAGGCCAACAGATCCTACATACTTTTCCTAGGGCATGCTCCGAATTCGGCTATGTCAGCCGCTTCTCTGCACATTTTAAATCACTCAGCGTTTCACTGTGTGTGGGCGCTGCTTGTTTCCTATGCTGTGTGCACATTTGTGAATATCATCTGTACTGGTATTGCAAAAACGTTGTGCCGTCTTCCACCTGCGCCTTATGGGGTTTAATGTTCTCCCGATTCCACTGATGTCACTGTTAACTGAATAGCTCGGCAACAGTTGCACAAGCTTCCTGTTGATACCCTGTCAGAGTCTATCCGTAGGCCGTCGAGTAGCCAATCCCGCGTTGAGCGCTAGCAATTGCTCCCGTACTAAGGGTGCATGGTTGTCCGCATTCGTGCATGTGCTTCGTGTCTGCAGGCTATGTATGCATATATGAACTCACGCATATTTTGAGTGATGTATACTATGGCTTGCCCTAGGCCTCCAACTTATCTGGCTCGCACTATTTTCTCGATATTATTGAGTTTGAGTGGCTGAGGGTGCATAAAATGGGGCAGAGCTGTATATAGCACACTAGCGGTCAAATAACTGCACGAACTCACGGTAGTTGGTTGAAAATATAGCACAGTGGCCTGCACACATAGCAACCTATACAGCATGCCAAGGGGATTTGCGACAAAAGTTCGTACGGCGATCAATACAAGTCCTAGCAAATAGTAGAAATCGGCCGACCTAAGATTGGGAAGCCAGGCGTGTGGATATGATAAGCGGCGACTTTCTGACTACCGGGGTTTGAAGTTGTTATTACTGCCTGTCACCTGAGGACACGCGGATTGCCGGAGGATGGATATGTTCTCTCAAATCTGCAGAGCTGTATCATCTAGACTTCCCTCCTTTTCTAGTTCTGTTCTTACATCAAGGGAATCCAGAATGAATCCGAAGGAAATCCAAGAATTTGTTGAAGTAATTGACGCTGCTTGCTTCCAGGTCAATGCCACCTTTCACTGATGTCATACCTTCACAGAACGGCCTCAAAGACAACGGCCTCGTTGTCTTCATCCGGACTTCGCCGCCTTGTTACTACTGCCAGCAAGCTCTCCGCTTCCTGCGAGAAAATCCAGATCTCAATGGTAAATCGATCGAGTAGGTGAAACCCTTGATCGGGACGCCCGCCATCTTGACAAGTCCGCATAGCCTTAGTGAAACCGGGGAGCAGCATGCTATTATCAGCTACCTTGGCGGCCTCCCGGGTTCTTCAGCCACGTTCCCTCGGGTTTTTGCTAGTGAGTTACGAATCATTTGGCTTGTCGGTGATGCTGATGTCGTGATCTTGCAAAAGACAAGAAGTTGATTGGTGGTATGCAGTTATATTTTTGGTTTGTATTGCGTGAAAGCTGATTTCATCTAATTTTTCTTCCAGGCTATTCCGATTTGGAGGGCTTGGGTGCATCTGGTGTAAAGGCCATTCTCCAGAAGGTGTAAGGTTTTCATGAGAACCGTGGGTCAATACCATGACAGTTCCGACTCGGAGTGATTGGTTTAGTGATGTCGTACAAGTTGAATCATTCGATAGAATTTTCAGACAGAGGCAATGTATCTTGAGGATTGACATATCATGTACGAGATTCATATTATTGCGAGCCACGAGTACTACGATCTCCTCGGTAATGAGTCATCTTGGACCCTACCAGTCTGACCTAACACAAACACATGACAGTCGATACGCTAGTAGTCATCCAGGGTCTTATATTGCACATGGAATGCCAACTTGGGCACATGCTGATAAACATTTACTAAAGATTTTTTGTAAGCCTCCGAATCACATTTGCATCATCAGTCCATTATTCAGACAACGGAGTAATTGAATCGTAAATTAGAATTCTATCAAGTGTCGCTCGCCAAGATCAATTCGGTTAATTTGCTGGTCACCATCTCCAATGGGTTAAACTCGCGCCTGCCTTGGTCGATACACCGCGGGTCAAAAGAAAATCACTTACGTTCTCGAGGAACGCCCTGGTGTATCATCCCGATGCGGGTTATCTATGTCGTATTCAGATATGAGTGGCTAGCGCAGACCCTTATGACGGCAGCCCTAGCGTTGCACGCTGCAAGGAAAGTTGGGGGAACAGGGTTGATTTTAATCAGCACGATAGGCTCAAACGAGATCGAAGAAATATTTTTACCAGCTGAATAATACTCGCGCGTTCTGTCGGCGGCAGCATGTTGATTTGGTCTGGCGTCATAGCTATGACGCGCATTATCATGGCCTGTTTTTTTGGCCCGTCAAAATATGCAATACTGTAAAATTGGGTTTTTCGCACCTTTTGTTCCTCGGGAATCGATGCCAGGGCATCTGGAATCATGCCACCGCCTATGGGGGTTTGTTGTGGCGCGCTATATCCTCCTTGTATACCATATTGAGAGGGCGCCCCATAACCGAAATTTTGCTGTGGAGCTTGCCCGTGTCCATTGGGATAATGAGGAGGGGTAGGTGTATGTGATGGCACGTGCGGCGGCGTTTGTGACTGTGGCGTTGGTGTACGGTACTGCTGGAGGTGGGGTGGGATTGCAGAAGCAGGCTGTATGACAGGCGCCGTCGACGGACCTGCATTCTGTTGTTGCTGTTGCTGGATCGATGCTGAATAGGCCGTGAGTGTTTTCTGGAATCGCCGGTTCATCAATCCGGTGGTTTCCATGTGGTAAGGGCGAGTACAGCATACCTGCAGGACTTGGACGTCTACAGCATTCATTTTCACCATCAGACCAATGAGAGCATACGCGATTTGTGGCGTGGATGCGAGGATAGCGCGTGCTTGCTCTGGAGTTGTTTTCTGGAAGTCGCGTGATGAGTTGATGGGTGTAGTAGTTGTTAGCACTGACCTTGAGCGTTAGAAGCAACTCGGTGAGCTGCTCTTCTTGCCCAGACATCGTATTCTAGGAGGCGCGATGCAGCGCAACTGGTAGGTCAACTCACTTGGCAACAAGTTGTGGCTTCTCTGATGACTAATAAGCGCTTCGAACTTTTGAAACTGCCAGCTGGCTGGCAGGGTTGACAACGTTGACAGATTCACCACTGCCACTAGACTAACTACCAGTACTTACTGTGGTTTCGACATTTCACACTTTAGCTTCAGTTCTCAAGCGGTGGACTGCTTTTATGATTTCATCTTCATGGCCACTTTCTCATCGGACATCTTGCGCAAACTTGCTAGATTCTTTGCACTCTTGTTAAAATCTTCACTTCGTCGAGCATGCTATACGTTGCGAATTTTCTATGCCCTGCTCCGCAGGCTAGGACACATGTGTATTCGCCTCGGCCATGATACCTCCTCAACTAGAAGACTTCAAGAAGAGTTGCGCCCTGCAATATGTTCGAGCGGCTTACCTACGAGCCATACACTCCCGACATATATCAACCAGCCTGGTGACCGACCACGCAGTACGCTCGCAGTACAAGTGGACATTGCATCTCCGCAGCATCCATTGTACTCGACACCACCTTCACACCCCAATTTCAGAGACGACTCCAGCATAGGGACTATAGATGATATTCCAGCATCAAATGCCAGCTTTGATAGTGGACTACCTCAAATCGTGAACACACCAGACGAGCCGCAATTTGTCTTCTCGGGGCATGCCGCTGCGCCACCCAAGCCCATCAAATTAGTACCAATCATACCGACCGACGTCAAACGCTATGATAGAAACATCAAAATGTAAGACGGTCACTCATTCTTAGAGCGATGTTGACGTAGCCACACTGCCACGGAAGGAAATGGGCTGAACCGAACTGCTTCGTCATCGCTCCGAAAGACAACAAGTATGTGGAGTATGTACACGTTCACCGACAGTTTCTGTGTCCCATAATACATGTATCTAGGGAGGTGCAATATGGGTGGCGCGACTTTGTGCACCCGGAAGGTCCCAGAGTTTATTATCACCACGAGACAGTTAGCACGTGCCCCTAGATTGATTGCCCAAAATGCTTATACACTTTATAGAGAGTTTTCACGGATGCAGACATGCGCCTAGGCAAGATGGATTCGAAGAAGCTCCTGGGGATGGCTAAAGCCCTCAAGGATTATGCAAAGAGTCAGCCAGACGTACAGGCCAGGATCGATGAAAGAACAGAATTGGTGCTCGAGCTTAACACCGAAAAAGGTAATACTAATATCATCAATTCTTGTGGCTACTATTTCGTCGATCACGGGAAGAGGGTGATATTTTGGGCGCATTCATATACTTGCGAACCCCATGGTGAGATTTTGTTCAACGTCAAGGCAGCCAAGAGACTCAGTCATATAAGTGGGTGGTTCACTACTATTTGGATGACCCTTAAACACCTGCTTTTAGAGTATTCATTGGAATCGCAATACTGGTCAGTACTCTCCAAGGGATCGGTACGCTCCGTAAACAGATATTTTCGATCAATTTCACTGATTCGCACGCAATAGCGTGTTGGCGACGCTGACAGTCTTCTAGGTATCACTGCGAGCTTTATCCTCACAACCGATACCTTTCGAGACAAATATTTGAAGAGCTGAGGGAAATCATTGTTCATGCAAACGCAGGCAGGCTACATGATTGCAACTTAATGAAGAACGGAATCTTACGATCATGATAGAAACCATCACCTCGGATACATCACTGGCCCCTTTTGATGGCAATGAACTAGCCAAGATGCTGGATCTAATGGACCGTGTTGAGGGTTAGACTTGCTCCGTGTATTTTAGACCCAAACTAAATGCTGAACCAGGCAGCATCGATAAAATGCATGCTTATTCTGTGTGTGTTGTAGGCGAGTTTTTTTTTTCATGGATGACAACAGTATATTGATCTACTCTTTACAGCTCGGTTCATGAGATTGTTCAGTACGGATATATCCTTCGATTCACGAAAAATACTAACAACGCTCAGCCAAAGTCAAATACACAAACTTCTGCGGACAACCTGGCGTGCGCGTTGACGCCGACAGGTCCATCTATTACAAAGAGGGCCACGAACGCGAAACACTCATCTTCAGGCTCCTCAACCTAATACTTTGGTATGGGCCACGTAAACACTATAAGCGTGTACAGAGAGTATGGGTGGACGAGATCATCAATGCCCCACGCTGGAAAGACTTCATCAACCAACTAGATAACGAGTGGCTGGGGTTCACGATCTATGTAAGTGCTTGATACATCGAGTGCAATCGAAGACTTAGCATCGCTGGAGTCCACTGTTATGTTGGCTGTCGATGTCAGTTTCCTTGCGGTGCCTGGCATCATCGGTCCCTCCTTAGAGACATCGCCCGTTATCGCAGTATACATGTCATCTCTTTGTTCTGCAGGTTCGCTTGTGGTTGCTGTGTTACTTGTCGACCAAAGCAAAGACTATCAGACTGCCGAGGACGGGGTATGCGATCTTTTTTTAAGTTTAACGAATCTCCTTGATCACACATGCAGGCTTTATACATGTCCCTGATGACCAACGGAATTCCTGGAATTGAAAACTTGGCATTGATGCATAGCTTGCCGTATGCACTCCTTGTATGGGCGTATGTCCTAATTACCCGGCGTATCAATCCCAGAGTTCTGACCTTGGTATCTCGTCAGGATGGCATTCTTCGGCCTCGCATTGTCTATCTTCATTTTCAATACAAATGACGTTGTAACGCGCGCGACGATGATCCCTGGATGGACAATAGTCTTGATACTCACGTTGTGGCCCACGATGTGGCCTACGATGAACACTCCTGTCGGATGGCTACTGAAATTTGTGAAATCCTTGCCCCATCAGTCAGAGCGCGTCGTCCAATACCTGCGTAGTTCAAGACACCCAGAATTGGACCAGATGTTCATTGGCGGGACCAACGATCAAGTTGCGTAACCATGTACACATCCGGAATGTGCCACTATGCTTCCTTACTCTTGCACCGCCGATGTATTATATATCTGTGGTTTGGTTGGTAGGCTTACAGGATAAGTCGAGAGTATATATTAGTATACATCCTCCGAATTCTATCGCAGCTACATGGTTTCTCCGATCTTATTCTATGCATAGGGTCTCAACTGGTGTAACTTCATTGAGCTCCATCGATCGATTCATCATTTACGTGTGGAGTCAGCAGATTACGAGAAGAAATAGTTCTCGTTTCAAATTTCGTTATAGCTATTCCATAAGCACTAACTTGAAACACCCCGTATATACTTCATCAGCTATTATTTATGTAAACTCAATCTAAACGGGTTGGCCACCCACTGGGCTGTCTTTAAAACTCTCACTCTCACCAACGGCATCTTTATGGACAGCAGGACGTACTACAAAGCAGACGGTGGGTCTTCAGTACATCTTGGTAAACCCCACGATTCCAAATATCATACTATACAGTCATCGAAGCCTTGATCCCGAAGAAAGATTCCACCAAATCATCTGTATATTATGTCAAAATCCTTGTAGAAGGGCATCCACCGCTGAAGACCAATGAAGTGGCTAGAGAACTTGATGGCAGGGCTGTATGGAACAAACACTTCATGTTGTGAGTGTTCAGTTCTTCATACATGAAGAGAAACGATTGACAAGTACTACGTATGCCGTTAGACCCATAGATATGGAAACACAACTTGAGATCAAGAGCAAACACAATTCAATTTTCAAACCTGGCTCCCGTTCTCTCGCCAAAGTCGGTTTAGATGTGGCCACAATACTTAGACAACCTGTTGTCGCAGTGTGTAAGTGGTCTTTTTTTAAATCGACAGCGTCGTGACGTCAACACAACGTTCCCTGCATATATCATTAGCACAGGAAATTCGGCTGAATTTCCCTTCGGACGACGTACTACACTATGACGCCTCACAAGGAGGCTACATCTTAATCCGTCTATACAGACCTGAAGAGCCTATATCAAAGCCTATATCAGTGGGGAAATCGTTTTCTGTGCTCATTTCGCAGCTAGATACGTTTATCCAGATTGTGGACGTAGCATCGCAGGTCAGTGGCTTTAGGCGCACTCTGACAAGCTAATATTTTAAAAATGCAGATACATCCATTTGTGAATTTGACATGGCAGGTTGTATCATCACTTTACACGGTGAGCATCAACACATAAGACTCTGAGTTTCTGAGTTTCTGATGAATGGTATAGATTGCCAGAGACCAACTGGACCGGGACAAAAGCATCGGCGAGCTGACGGACATGATGGAGGACGTGTATACCTTTGTTGATGATATAAAAAGTTTTCCGAGTAGACTGGCATCTCAAGAAGAGACTATCAAGAAAATCATGTCCCAAACCATAGAATGTATGCTGTTCATTCAGGAATACTCTGGCCACGGATTTTGTGGTGCGTGTGTTTTATCTTAAACCTGTCTCTTATTCTCATTCAGAATCTAGGACGTGCGCTCAATCAACAATGGGCGGGCGAGCAAATTCAACGCTTTACGCAAACATTCACGATGCTGAAGGCATCTCTCAACACCGGAGTTGGGGTCCAGATCGCTCTCATTGCTCACCGCATGTACGAAGATGTGCAGTCGATAGGTCTGTATGCATGTTACATTCTCAGAGCTTCAAGCGCTCATCGGCATCTAGTTCAAACACAAACTCTTGCCAAGCTTCATCCAGTAGATATGGATGACCCATCCCGACCGACGTGCTTGCCCCAAACTCGCAGCGACTTGCTCTTCAGTGTGTTGTCTTGGGCAATGGATCCTTCCAGCAATCAGAATGTGCTTTGGCTCCATGGCCCTGCTGGCTCTGGAAAGAGCACCGTTGCTACAACGATTGCCAACATTGCACGAGATCTGGGTCGTCTCGGCGCATTTGTATTTTTCGACCGCCGCATGGCCGCAAGGAATGATCCAGCAGCCGTTGTACGGACTCTTGCCTTCCAGCTTAGCGAATTTGACCCTCGACTGGGAGCGTCTATCTCGACTGTGATAAAAGGCACTCCAAGCATCAGACAATCACCCCTACGACAGCAGTTTCATAAATTACTGGTGCAACCGCTGTCCGAATCCGAATTGGCGGTTTGGAGCCAAGAAGGTCCTGTGATCGTTGTTATCGATGCATTGGATGAGTGCGGACACGTCGGGAACCGGGAAGACTTTCTCAGTATCCTAGCGCTGGAGAGCGTAAAATTACCGTCGACGTTACGCATCGTTGTCACAAGCCGGACAGAGCTGGATATTCAGCAAGCATTGGAAGCACAGAAGAATATATGTAGCACTCCAATCGACATCAACTCTCCTGCAAATAATAAGGATATCCACTTGTACCTATCCGATCGTCTACAAAACATCCGTTCTAAAAACAAATATCTGTCACTCCCACAGGAATGGCCTGGGCATGACGTAATTGATGCTCTGGCAGTTCGAGCGCACGGACTCTTTATATGGGCGTATACAGCCTGTCGCTACGTGGAAAATGGTCAATATCCAGAAGACAGGTTAGCGGACCTGCTTCGTACTGATGTTTGCTCGAACGCCGAGTCAGCCCTGGATCTTATGTACACCACCGCCCTAGAATCCGCTGGGAGATGGGAAGATCCAGCGTTTTCTGCCGACTTCCGCGACATTCTCGGCGTTGTGATAGCTGCCAAAAATCCTTTGACGGCGTTGACCATCGACCGTCTTAATGAGGTTGCTTCAGTCTCAAGAACGCGACCAAGTCTTCACACTATTCAGCATCTTAGTTGTGTTTTCCGAGGATCGACAAGCGAGCCGATCCATGTTATTCATCCTTCGTTCGAGGATTTTCTAACAGATCGATCTCGCTGCAAAAGGGATGAATGGTTCATTGATGTATATCTATCCCATCAGAGACTTGCCCTCCAGTGCATCAACTCCCTTCGCGCAAATTTGAAACGAAATATGTGCGACTTGACCCTCACGAGAAGTGGGGTCGATGTTAAGATAGCGGAGGATGTTACCTACTCCTGCATCTTCTGGATCGAGCATGTCTGCGAGTTAGAGGGAACCGAGGCATCGCTCTCTATTGCGGTGTACGATTTTCTCGTGAAGCATCTGCTTCACTGGATTGAGACAATGAGTTTGTTGAAGAAGGCTAGACATACAATCAAGTTACTCATGCGACTAGAAGATTGGAGCCGAGTGAGTTAAAGTTCCATCCTATTTATCTCGTCGCTGAAAGCAAGCCTATAGTCAATTCAAGGTCGCCATCAAGAACTTTGCGACCTTCTAGCAGATGCAGTGCGCTTTTGCCAAGCCTTCACCGCCGTCATTGAACAGCACCCACTTCTCGTATACAGCAGTGCATTGCCGTTTTCTCCAACCAACTCTGTCCTATATCATCTATTCAAGGATGAAATATCAATACCAGTCGTAGTTGGAGGCTTTCGTGATGAATGGTCGCCTTTGCTCATGGACATTCCCAGACCAAGTGGAGAAGTTACATCACTCTCACTATCGTCTGATGGGTCCCAGTTGATCTCAACGGTCGCCCGTAGGTGCCATGTGTGGGACGTTATATCGGGAGAGCTGCTGATCCAAGGGCCGAAGGGTGATGTGGCGATGACGGTCTTCGCGCCTGGTGGTCAGCTAGCTGCGTCATGTTTATTCAGTGGTTCAATAGTCCTCTGGGACACCTTCTCTGGGCAAATGATAGGTCAGCCACTAGAATGTGATCAGGGAGCGATATATGCTCTTGCATTCTCCCCTGATGGGGCCCGTTTGATCTCGGGCGGACAAAATTGCACTATCATCATGTGGAATGTTCAGACAGCATCAATTATTCTGGACCCCCCAGCGACACACACGAAAACGATCCTGTGTCTTGCATTCTCGCCCGATGGTATGCGTTATGCTTCGGGCTCACGTGATGGTGCTATTCGAATCTGGGATGCAGCATCAGGGAGAATGGTATTAGGACCCCTTCACGGTCATTCTGGGAGCGTATACTCTGTAGCCTTTACTCCTGATAGCACGCGGGTAGTATCGGGTACAGATGACAAACACGTCTGTGTATGGGATGTTCAGGCTGGGTCTGGGGTATCCATGCCAATCAAGCTGCGCGGTCATCGCAGCACCGTGTTCTCTGTTGCCGTCTCTCCTGACGGGCGACTCATCGCATCCGCATCAAAAGATACCACCGTACGCCTCTGGAGTCTGGAGACAGGAGAAGAGTTAATCCACCTCGTTCGCCGGCACAAAATGCCTGTGCGTTGCGTAGCATTTGGGCAGCAGTACGGGCGTCTCCGCCTGGTAACAGGCGCGAAAGATGCTACCATCCGCATCTGGGATATCGAGTCAGTTGGGAGCATGGGTGTGACTCGGAAGCACAAGGGCCTCGTTTCGCACCTTGCGTTCTCGCACGATGGCCAGCGCATTGTTTCGGGGTCGCTCGATCGTACTGTGCGGGTCTGGGATACCATAACAGGCCAATGTTTGCTGGGTCCACTGAACCTCGAGCATCCAGTACATTCTGTTGCTCTACCCGCAGATAATGTCAGGATCTTGGCGGCAGACCATGAGGGTGCCGTCTTCGCATGGGATGCAACGACAGGAGTGCATTTAATTGCTACGCCGGCCGACGATCCCAGCAATCATTCTATCGTCGGGCCATTGTCTCTGGAGCGAAAGTGGATAGTAGAATCAAAGACTGGTACGGTCCTTACGATGCTTCCAACGATGTCAGGTGTGAGATCTCAGGCATCGTTCGGCAATTGCATGGTTCTTGGGCTGGCAAACGGTGGAATAGTAATTGTACGTTTTCCTGATACCCCACAGCTTGTCTAGCACATACCCAGATACCTATGCTTGTACGTATATAACCATGTGATAGTATCTAGAAGCTCGTGATGTACTTACAACTATTTTCATATCGATGATCCGGATTTCGTCGTTTTTCGTATCACCGCTTCTAATTACTTGTGGAGCTGGATAAACAAAAGGGTTCCGCTTATTACCATACTTTTGGTCGGGCGAAACATCCTTAAATGGCGCTCAGAGCTGCCTGCAAATGGGTACCGCCACATCCACCAGTGGCTGTCAAACAGCGATAGGTTATTGTGTCTACCCACATGCCCTAGCTGGTTTGCGCACATCAGACAGTTATTGTGATTGTGGCCTCTTCGAAACTCTACAATGTATCAAGAAATGTGCGATAGTCGCGAGCCAAAGGTCGGATGTAACGAACTCCCGAGTCCTTCAGGGGTATTCCACCCTTGATCCGCCCGAACAGTATCGTAAAAGGTGAGACCCTGTTGTTTGTGAAACTTAAGTTCCACAAGGAAATAGATCTAGAAGCGGCAAGACGGGAAAGAAAAGGAATCCGGTCTAACGATATGAAAATAACTGTAAAGTTGAAAGGGCATCTACATTTATGCACGTCCTTCGTCATCTGATCTATTTGGTATTTTCCGAAGAACGTTCCGCGGGACCCCATCATCCTGTAAGACAGTCTCCTGCACAATACGGTATCCACGCTTCTTGGGTAACCAGTAGAAGCAAACAAACCAATATATAACGCCAATCATACCGACTGACACCGCTATAACGACGTGGGACTGCACGTCAAACCATCAGTTACGCATACAAAAAGATAGCGGCAAACGTACCCAATATGGGAGATGTTCATAAGTTTCGGATCCTGCAGACGGCGGGATCATGGGTAAAATAGCAAGAACGACATGGGATAAGAAAAAGAATATAACGACGGACTTCCACGCTCGGAACGGAGGAGACCACTCGTAGGATTTGAATGCGGGGGTGTACAGAAGGAGAAGACCACCCGATATCAGCAGATTAAACATCGTCACGGGGTATAATGAGACTAAATTGTGGTTAGATAGGTCCAAGATCAAGTCATGAGGTACGAACAATTTACGACAAAGAGATAGGCATCTCCAGGAGGAGCAGCAATCATGATGATCATAGAAACGAGCCATTGAGTGAAAAGCCCAGCAAGGGGTGCACTGAAAGGTTTGTTGCTGGCGAAGAAAGATGAGAATGGTAGAACACCCTCTCTACCTAACTCTTGGACAACTGTGGCATGGTAAGCGCATATCCTCGTGTACAAGTGAAGTTAAATAACCTCTGCCCTGCGAGAACAGGATGCTCATAAGGTTTCCTAGTACTGACAGTGCAATGACAGCACTCAAAATCTGGGTTTAAGCTACATAAGAAAATACGCTAACTAGCATAGTTGCCATTACTTACCCGTTCTGTAGCAGGACCGAAGATGTTCCTGAAAAATAGGGCTCTGAAAGAGTTTACATCAGCGTGAATTTATGTTTTCGTGATAAATGAGCCATACGCCGCCATGGTGCCACCTTCCAATATGTCTTGCTTAGATACGACAGCAAAGTACGCAACGTTCACAGACAAAAACGCGACCGCGACAAGGATCAAGGCGAGGGGTGCGGCGCGCCTGATGGTACGGACAGGATCTTGTACTTCAGATAAAGCATAGTTGGCATTAGAGTATCCGCTGTAAGCCCTGTGAAGAAGTTAGCAACCGGCCCGTGGGTGCACGACCAGATGAAACCTACCAGATAACATTATACATTCCAGTGATGAATGCATTCAGGCTAATGCCACTTCCCTCCCAAAAAGACGACCACTCGAAATTATGCGGAATATCGTATTCACCACGTACAGCGAATCCAGGGACACCGACGAGGCTGAAGAGCCCAGAAACAGCGATAATGAATAATACAAATAATTTGAAGAAACCCAGTGCATCCTGTAGTTTCAGCCCATAGTCCAAGAATCCACCGTGTATGATGAGACAGAATGTCGAGCACAGAAAGCCGGCTACTCGAACGTTAACAGTGGTAGGCTGAATTGCGAGGGCATTTAAGGTGTCTAGGGGGACCAGTTAGAAGTCGTCTAACAGAAAGATTTGAAATTCACATTCCCCGAAAACAACGCTATTTACCGCTAACCAACCCTTACGGATGATGATAATGATCAATGCATTCGCGGGACGGATAAGAACTTACTATGAGCAATCCGTATATCGCGTAGAAGCAAGTAGCCAAGAACCTCGGTCGGCGATAGATGAATTCCATGTAGGTCTTCTCCCCACCACTCTTTGGCAGTCCCTAGAGCACGGCGAAATGAGAAGGGATAGCAGCTGACAATCCGAGTCCCTGACCGTTCCAAACTCTACAAAAACAGCAGTGCCTGCGCATGCGACGAGTGTACCGATTATCCACATAACGAAAGTCATTCCTACACTCCCTGATGACCGCAAGATAACGCTAGGCGCTGCAAAAGCGCTGGACATGAACATTAGCCCTCCCTCACGAAGGATGCTTTCATTATGACGAACCCAGTTCCAATCACCCTGTTGAATATAAGCATTACTGCACTAGCGAGTCCTGAAGCACGTTGGGTCAACTTCATACCCCGGCGACACAAGCGACATTAATGCCTACCGATCTGCTTCTTTGCATCAGGCACATTGTCAAATGCGTCTGTATCACAGAAGAAACCGGAGATGTGAGTAAGATGATGTCGAATGTATGTGAGTCCCGAGCACCTACTACGTGTAGTGTCGTCTTGCACAGACAAATACCCTTCCACCCGGATATCGTCGGTCGCCTTCCGCTGGATCTGCGCTGGTCGCAGGAGAGGCTCCGTCTCTGAAAGACCATCCATCAGGCGAGTCGATAGCTTGTATATCCTGTTGAATACGGGTCAAAGAAAGGTCTTTTGTTGCGAAATTGAGTGCCGAACTAGTTGGAGCTTCAAAAGGCTGCTTGACGTCTTGCGTGATCCCAGTGGCACTCGCCCTATTCGGAATCGTGAATTAGTACATCATTTACATGATATATCACTGGCCAGCGCACGGTCCAGTGTCAAGATATAAATAAGTTCGATGACTACTAGTAAACAGAACTAGTACTTTGAGGGAGTTCTGCCGGCAGAACCATATTCTGCCAGTGCGGTAAGTGGCAGAATCAAGGAAAAAATTTGATGGCACTTTGATCAAGCGTACTACACTGGTGTGAGACGTACGCGTATTAGAGTCCAAGTCCTTAGTAGTAGTCCTGGCAGTGTGGTTCCGTCCGGACTGCCGCCGGCTCGTCGACACGTGGTTCCACACAGTCCCTTCTAATACTTCCGTCCCATTCAACAAGACAAATTCTCCATGCATCGTTCTTTCTCATTTTACCTTCTAGCCGAGCGAACTCAGCGCTCAGCATTGATGTTATCAAGCGAGATAGGTTCTGGACCTTCAAGATCGTAGCTGACATTACTAGTACTGTCGCAACTTGCAGGTGGTGCCATACGGTATCATAGAGCTATTGGTATCACGCTCTATGAACCTATTACTTTCGACAAGGGAATTGAGAGATAGCCTCCAGACCTGGACATTGCAAAGATTACATGCTGAGCTCCTATCTATAATGCTGGTGGTACTGCGGTTGAAAAGAGGTGGATAAGCTAAACTCAGGCATCGATTAGCACACGCGCTGAGCTAATTTGAAGTCGAATAACGATATTCCTTCAATCATCTGTTTCACAGGCACTACATGATACACATTCACATTGGAGTCACTTGTCAACTGAGAAACTGCATCGATCAACGACAGATCGCCGTTAAGATGCTTTTACTAGGGGTTCAATAACAGTACCCATCTAAAAGAACAAGAGATAAGCAACCCAGCCGGATATAAGAATAGGGTCAAAGTGACTCGCCTTCTTCACAACACGAGGGAGAGTTCCTCTCTGGAACCCCACTCTAGTATTCCACTCTGCACCTACAGGTATGTCCATACTGCGGGCGTACTGGGCATGACTGGTATATGGATACGGCAACTCCTTGACGAGGTATTTGGCTGCTTTTTTATCCCGCTTCTCAGAGATGATGACATGTGCTTTTTTGTAATCGGCTCGAGACGAAGGTTCGACGCCAGCGATTTTTTTGATCAAATTTGGTCTTGGTGGAAACTTCTTGGTGCCTGTACCTCCCCAAGAGCCCTATAACGTGCGTTAAGCTCGGTAAATAAGAAAGATCAGTTTCAGCTTACCCAACCAGGAAGAGTTGTATCAACTTCTCGTGGTGCGTCTGCTTCGATCTCTGACTGCTTCAGGTCCTCGAATGCCTGGAACATATCAGTAACCCGCGCGAACCCAACTGAAGAACAACTTTCATACCTGAACGACGTTATCGCCGGCAAAAGCAAGGGAGACCAATTCTCGTTGCTTGAATGCAGTCACTCCTTTGCCTTTGCCTCTTTGGCGCTTCCTCTCCAGAGTACGCTCTTGTTCGTCCACCTCGCTATGTACATCAGAGTCATCAGCATCAGCAGGTGATATCCGCACAGCGACACTGTCATTCTTCGGTTTCTCCTTTCTCTTTCCCTTTAGCTCATGCTTGGTATTTATGACAGCCGGCGCGGAGGCTGGCTCAAGAACGGTGAGAACATTGTCGGCATCGATCTCCAACACTGCATCATCCTGAATACGTTCTTTCTCTTCCCCTCCCTTGGCAATTCGCTTCTTAAGTTTGTTGGTGGACTTCGCAAGGGCGTCAGAGCCCTTTTGCACAAGGACTTCGCTTCTCTTGCGGGATGGGCCTGAAGACGATGATGTGACAAGCCAAGGATTGCTTTCCTGCGTCGGAGAAGAGATTATTGGGCTAGAAATGAAGTTCAAATTTTTGGGACTGTCTTGCACCAGGTCGGCAGATTGGAGGGTGACACTAGAGGTCTCCGATGCGTGCGAGTCGACTGGTTTAGTATAAGGAATTGTGCCAGGATGGTATATCACGCGCCCGCCCACGCGCTGGACTGACGGGCCTTCTGTCACTGGTCTGTCACCGCAAGCATCGTCGTCACTTTCCTGTTCCACCCCTCCCATCTCTTTCAAGAAGTCATCCGCAGCTGCGTCCGCTTCTCGGGTTTGCCTTTCTGCGGCATCGCGCATGAACTTCATATTGAAGACACTCTTACTTTTGATGTCTGCAGATAGGACGTCGGAGGCATTGAGCATGGCTAGCTCTTCGAATGCACCTTGCTTGATGGTCTCTACGTCTTGTTCTTCGTCATCGCTCTCGTTTTCCTCAGACTCGTCACCGCTCATCTCGCCTTGTATGCGACGGCGAAGCTTCTCTCCGCGCTCCAGCATTTCTCCAATGGCCTGCCGTTGATCCACATCAAGCTCCTCGCGTCCCTGCATGGCTTTTGCCCACTTCCCAGTGGTCTTGTGTCTCAAAGTTGCCCTCTCCCTTGCCCTCTCCACCTCAGCTTTCAATCGTGTTTCTGCATCTTCAACATCCATATCCGCATCTCCTTCTTCACCACCCAACCGCTCTCTCTGTTTCTTTCGAATGCGGCGGTACGCTTTGCTCTTGATTTTCGCTATTCGCTTCGCCTTCTTATCAGCACGGAAAGCAAGTTCGCGCATCATGCGCAGTTCTGCGCGCCGCGCCGCGACCTCTTCGACCGATAGATGGGCCATCTTCAGAGCTTCAGTTCCGGCGATGTCCTGATCGCGAAGTTGAGCCGATTTCAATAGATTATCGACGGCCGACTCGAGTTCATTCGAAGGCTGACAATGATGTAGTAGTTAAATTACGTGAATCGAATAAGTAGAAGTGGGACTAACCTTGAATTTTGCTGCAAGCTCCAAGTTGGAGACGCGACCTTCTGACTGTGCTTGCAACGGAAAGCTCAAATGTTCTGCCTACAATCGCGAGTTAGTAACGAAATAGATACGATGAACTGAATATATCATTGCCTGTTTGATGCGCTTCATTGTAGCACTCCATTTATCCACTTCCTCCTTGGTTTGCTCATAAGCGGCTTCGCGATCGAGACGTTCTTGAGCTCGCTGAGGAAGCGGCGCCGACAGAGTTTTGGTTTTGGTCGATGTAGAAGTGAGAACCTTGATCGATTTTTTGAGCGTCGTGAGTGCGCTTGAAGATGCAAGCGGGGCAAGGAGGTCGTCTAGTTTAAGTGCTGTAGAGCCTGCGTGCGTGCATCGTGCTTAACATAAAGTCCCATAGGAACGTTGGGTTGGGACTCACCACGAACAGAGACGCCAAATTCTCCCTCATCCCCAGCCTCAGTGCGCTCCTGCATCAAGCGGCGTTTTTTCGAAGCGGATTGTGTATCTGAGACATCGTTAGACTTGCGTTTTTTATCGTCTGTGGAGTCCAGTTTTGATAGGAAGTCTTGAAGTTCTTCGAGAGCTTCTGGGGAAGCTTCATCCTCTGATGTTGATACGGAGCCTTCGTCCTCGTCATGGTCATTACTGGGAAAATAAAAACCATACTTTTCCTCATCACTCTCATCAAACGCATCATCACTCTCAATCTCTTCATCATCCCCACTGTCCAGTCGTTCGTCATCTCCATCTTCTCCTATCAATCTTACTCTTAGATCTTGTTCCATGTCTCCAGGATCCATATCTGTTGTGATGCGTCGAATATGTGAGAGACTGAACGCAGTTCCTGCTGCATTAGATTTTTTCGACGAGTATCTGAGTTTGGATGGGCTTATCCCATTCAGGAAGGCGTTACATAGTTATTTTCGAAGGTAGTGTTATTCCGAGCGCGCCTTACATAGCATCTTTCCTATCTGTATACCCTTTCAACGACAGGACACCAGCAAAGCAACCTAGGCCACCGGAATAACATATGGCGAGCCTGAGCAAGGTTGGTGATAAATGTTTCCAAATTAGGCGCTCGCACTAAGAGGTGTACAGACGACTAGAACGCCGAAGCGCGCTACTTGGCTAGTTCTCGGTCTCTAAACGGTTTCCTCTTCTTATAATCCTCTCCTGGAGATCTTCAGCAAATCGCCGAGATTCCTATCGTTCTGTTTGGTTGTGACAAAGGCTTTTGTCACTTCCATTGTCAGCTGCCGTCAGCTGCCGCAGCAGAGTTTCAACTACTCGCCGCACGGATGGCGCGCACTCGAGTCGGTGGGAAGCGGAAAGGTCCCCAAGATCCCACCAAAGAGGTTCGCATCTAAGCTGCCATCCATGATACCTTGACTGGTGTTCATGGCAGTTTTCGCAGTGGTGCCATAGCTCACAATGTAAGCACTTCCTCAACAATTTTGTCACAACTCAATTTTCCTTCAGGTATCCCCACAGACTGCGAGATCGCGTGGCAGGCAAACACCGTACTCGACGCTCGTTCCTCAATGAATCCCAAGAAAAAGTACTAGTGGACTGGTGCCACCATAACTCGGATTCAGCAACCCCTCTACATCCTCGAAAACTCCGTGCTCATTGCTCAAATACTGGAGATGGTGAAAGTTTACCCTGGCAAGAATTGGGTCCGCCGCTTCCTTCTCGTCATGCAGAAATCATCGTTGCGAAACCCCGAGGCCTGGATCTGAAACGGCTCACTTGGAAGATCCTGACACTCGCAAAGCTCTTGCAGATAACTCTCATTTTCAGCGCTATATGGTTCGAAACGACGCACTGGTATGCCTGTTGCCGTTGCCAACCCAACTTCGAATAAAAGCTCAACACCTTTAGCAAGTACTCCTCTCCCCACGGCAGCCAACAATATGTTCTACCCACAGCCACCATTTTTCCGCAAATGCAAGGATCTCTCCCCATTCCGTATCCAAACCACCTATATCATGTTGAACCCGCTGCACTCTTAACAACCGCTCCTGGTTATCACAGCCATTGCTGTCTGGGCATCCTAATAGTCGCAGTTTATATTACTCCGGCAACCCGCAATACACATTCAATTAGATTACTACATACTAGCCACTGGTACACTCCTAATGTCTGATCCACAACGTGTCGGCTGAATGATTGGATCATGTTTGGTGACGTATCACATGAAAGACAAGGTATTTCGCTGCCGCAAGCACTTCCAGTCCATTTTCCAGGAAATAAAAATACACACAGCAAACTATGTAGTAATTATCCTTGAGAATCATTGTGCGAAGGAAATGACTCTGAGTGAAAGATGATGATGATTGCGATTTGCAACTCTGGGCCAAAGATAGTACGGATATCGATACGTACTATAGGAGTGCTAGTCTCACCCGAATGAATGACGTTTCCTTGCTGGGGGGTACTCGCACTGTCTGAATTTCCTCAATGTCACGGCCCCGACATGTCTAGCTTTTATCAATGTACTGTGTGATTAGAAAATGTACGCGATTTCGAGAAGTTGACTGAGGTAGCTCGTTCCAACCGCTACCACTCGGTATTTTCTTTATCTAAGCAAACAGCAAGTACGTGGACCGTGTCAAAACCTTGCATTGAGTACCGAACGGCAAAAGTGAAGGCCATCTTGAGATTGCGAAACAAGTTTGTGAGTGCACATTGAGTGCGTTTTTGAAAACCGAGGGTCACGCAAATTGTTTCGATAACCATCAGTTCAGGCGCATGATATCACTGTATATTAAAAGAACCATGGTATACATTGGCAGGCAGTGTCTATCGGTCCACCTCACTAAATGGATATACGTTAGCGTACATCGTGTAGAACGAAAGATCAGAAACGCACCCAAACACAAGATCCTGTTCGACAACAGCGATAAGCGACGGGAATAACAAAACCACGGGGTACATACCATAGTACCGATGATGGCGACAGCGTCAGCAAGCATGTGCTATAGAAGGAGGAACAGTTAGTGGTTCAATGCTAGGATTATATTTGTTGATCTTACATCTAGAAAACAAATCATATCTCAGTTAATGTCTCAAATCAGGTGTGAATAACATACGTCTCATCATGAAGTCTGAACCCGCGAGATGGGCAAAGCCGGGAGCACGAATTTTGCATCGGTATGGGCGATTGGTACCGTCCCTGAATGTCGCTCAATTGATGATTTTTAAACAGAGCGTTAAAATGTTACGCACGAGACCAGGTAAACAGCCATCTCTCCCTTAGGAGCCTCAATGGCGTTGTAAGTCTCACCTGGTGGTACTGAGTAGCCTTCACTGAAAAGCTATGAAAATGATCAGCAGCAGTCGGGTGTAGTTGTGTAGAAGAAGTTACCTTGAAGTGATGAATCAGTGCCTCCATACTTTCTTTCATCGAAGCACGGGGTGGTGGAGCGAGTTTGTTGTCATCTACCTTGATGGCGCCTGTCGGCATTTTGTTCAAACACTGGAGATGAAAATGGTTGAATCTAAAATGATTAATTGACCGAACCTACGAACCTGTTGGATGATGCGCAGTGACTCGCGGAACTCCTGGACTCTGCAAAGGTACCGGTCGTAACAATCACCATTCTTTCCGACCGGGACATCGAATTCAACCTGTGACACGTGAGTAATCGTGGCTGTAAAACACGAAAGTCATACCTCATCATATTTGTCATAAGGGTGCACTTTTCTTAAATCCCAAGGGATACCACTACCTCGTAGCATGACACCCGTGAAGCCGTAATCCAGGGCTTCCTTGGCAGTTACTACACCAATTCCGACAGTTCGCTGCTTCCATATTCTGTTACCGGTCACGACTTCTTCGATTTCATCGACACGAGAAGAGAATTGCGTTGCCCATATGTGTATATCCTCCAGGAGACCGTGCGGGATGTCAAAGGCGACACCACCGGGACGGACGTAGGCGGCGTGGAGTCGAGCACCAGAAACACGCTCATAGAACTCCATGAGCTTTTCGCGTTCTTCAAAGCCCCACAAGAAGGGGGTAAGAGCACCAACGTCCATGGCATGGGATAAGACAGCCATCAAGTCTAAAACCAACTTTAAGCACAAGCTTCGTGGAGCGTTCTGTTTGTGACATACGACTAAGAATACGCGTAATTTCACCAAACATGGTACGAATCCACTTCGCACGTTCGGGAACCTCGATATTAAGGAGCTTTTCGACTGCGAGCGAGTAGCATAGTTCGTTGGTCACTAGAATGGGGTCACTTGAGCACTGGGCAAGCTTCTTATCATAAACCTTACTCACTCATGGAAACATAGTCGAGCCGATCGAAGTAGGGAAGAGCTTGGACATATGTCTTGTACTCGATCAGCTTTTCAGTTCCTCGGTGGAGGAGACCAACATGCTGGAGTAAAATCAGCAATCCTGTTCGGGCACTTGTACTGAAATGCATACCGGATCAGCGCGCAGAATTTCCTCTCCGTTCAATTCCAAAATCATTCGCAGCACCCCGTGAGCAGCAGGATGTTGGGGGCTAAGAATTCAATCAAATTTTGGACGCAATGCAAATATTATAAATGACACTTACCCGAAGTTCACTGATCGAGTGGGTTTATTTGATTCGGTCAAAACAACATTCAAAAGAAATGCTCACCAGTAAAGTGCCGCAACTTCGCGTCCGCTCTTGTCCCGGTCTCTTTCAAAATTTCTGCCGCGCTCATGCCTTGTAAGTCTTCTACCGTATGAGTCTGATACACATTGTTTGTTCCATTGGTATCGGGTTGTACGACCTCTGGCTGACGACGGGAGACTGAGGAGGAAAATGAGCGCAAAAGGGAGCGCCTCGGCAGCGCAAGTTGCCGCCGCAGGAGTGTACTGGCCATAACCGTCGTCGATGGAGACGAAGGGTGACTTTCTCGCAGGAAGGAGATTGTGATGAAGTTCGTCAACGAAACGCGGCGTAAATCGGCTAGTGCGGTGAACTGAATAGGACACCCCCATGCGAGGGGTCATTGCCACAGTATTCACACGTCTCCCCGCAACTACAAGGTGGTGCTGGACTAGTCTTGCTGGCACCTCTGCACCATGTTTTACGCCAATGGGCTGAGTGCTCTGTTGTGGGCTATATCCATGTTCCTCGGATCTGGTCTTATGGTGCTTGCAGATGAAGCTCCATGCACTTTGCACCATGAAGGCAACTACTACAACCTGAATTCGTTGAAGGCTAGGTATGCCCTAGGTGTAATCGTGACATTGCATATGTTTAAGCTATCTGTTCTGACAGTCAAGATTATGAGTTCAAGACTCTAGGTGGACATTCTTTCTACCTGAATGTCTGTCGACGTGTGACCACCGAGCCCTGGAGCACTGGAGTTCCCAGCAATGTTGACATCGCTGGTCTAGTGCGGAAAGACCACCACGACTTTGCTGTAGGGTACGTAATATGCAGTTCTAACACCATCTCAACAGTTGACCGACAGGATGCAGACTTGTTAATACGACCCTGGAAATGAGGGACACGGAGCTAATGTTGCATCTTTCCAATGGTTCACCCTGCCCTGGGGAAGACAACTTATATGGGAGCTCTTTCATCATATTTCTTTGTGACCCATCGGTCTATGGAGCTGGTGGGCTGTTATATTTCTTAATGAGGGATGCAGTGATTGAAGTTTCATCCAGGCAAACCGGTGGTGATATCCCAATTTCCGGAAGACGACAACGAAGCCTGCCAATACACGGTTGAGTGGCGAACACATGTGCGGACTTATGTGCACCTCCATCTTCCCTAATTGACAGCTTCCTATTGTGTAGTTTGCTTGTCCCACAGGTGAAAGGGGTCTTATCTCAGGATTAATTGTGTTCTTGGTGATCACGTACGTCATGTTGATGAAAACATTTATTTCATTGATGGGCTGAATAAAATTTTCTCAGCATGATGATCCTTCTGATGCTTCTAATTGTTTTCAGCACTCTGTACAACCGGTTTGTCCTGAAAAAACGTGGCTTTGATCAATTGACCCGGCTTTCCAAAATTCACCTGCTCGAAGTCATGGACTTTTGCATGGAACTCTTCCAGTCCGCGTTAGACAATGTTCGCTCAAGTGGTAACAGATGGGCAAGATTGACGAGGGACATCAACCCTGCATCCTACCAATGGTCATCAAGGGATGAGGAGCAGGCGATGATGGCTGTTGATCCCCTTGAAGATGACCATAATCGGGAACTGCAAGATACTAATGTACGGAGAAATGATGTGTCGGATGGCACGCAGGGTGTGGATGTTTTGGGAACTGTACGGTCGTGACTCGTGTGTACGTTATATGCTGTATCTTTAGGATGGGACTCATTATCGGTTACCACTCGCTCGTGCACACCGCCAGGTGGTCACCAAACATCCAATCATTCACATGCATGTATGCAGGAGTGGTCGACTCATAATCACTTTTGAACTCTGGAATAGTCGGCGCGTAGGAACGATAATTGTCTACAATCACTATTCCTGAAGAGATGGAAGGAAAAATTACCCAGGCTTCCTCGACCAATCGGTCTTCAGGAGGGAAGAGTCACATCGGCATTGTATGGCTGAAATACTTCTGAGGCACTGACGGTGGTATTGCCTACACTTTACATGGCCATGTTTGATTACACTGGTGATTCTGGGGTTTTGGCCAAATTGCAAGAGAGTTGACACGACGTTATCCTCTATGCAGGGCTTTTCTGACGATCTGCATCGTCACCTCACCTCGGGATTGAAACGATCTTCGCTAGAGTGCAGCCTCCTATGATATACTCGTCATCATCTTTTGAACTACAAGACCCAACACAACCTTTCGTGACGAAGGATGCGATGAAAGATGAACAAAGTTATCAGTAAGCAAGATCTGTCTACTACTCATTATGTCCTACCGATACAGCAGTTGCTTCACCCGGTTTATTGACCATGTTGGATATGACATAGGTCACCATGAGAATATCAATTCTGGCGACATTTCGAAATAGCTGGATTCAAGGCATAGAATCACGTATATCGTTCAAACTAGTGAGTCTTGGCTGGCACCGCGAGTCCTCATACTCACTGTATTCTTGCCAAAGCATGCTGTTTTGTACGTTCCAGGCGCAGGTCATATACTTCATCACTTACATCACCACCGTTGACACTATATGATCTCAATGGTGACCATCGAAAGACATCAGGAAGCTTGCTATGAACCGAGAAGGAGCCAGCCTGAATAACATGATTCACCATAGTAGGCACCAGGACAGGAAGATTTTGAAGGAGGGCCCACTTAGACGGTGAACAGGATGCCACTGCAATCTTTGAGGTTACAAGAAGTTGTCCATTGCGCTCATGTGTGAGTATTCAAGGGTTCTTGGGGCGGATTTTGTCGTAATCCAGTAAGACATACGCTAGCCCTCAGAATCTACGTGTATGTTGGCCGGTACGTCTTCTTTGATACTTGACAATATATGCACCAATTTATACAAGTATGATGGACAGTCGGACTCATCCGTGAATGTGTACCAAACCTGCCCCGAGCTATCTATGAATACACAAGCTCCCGCGGCCCGCTACATCATCCTTTCCCTCAGTACCGACGAGCGTAGTCGACGTTTGAGTTCAGCCAACAGCACAGCACCTTCTGCTCCTTAGTTCATACACAGAACCACCATCTTCCGGGGGGGACTCCAGACGTGCAGACCCTGTCGAGCATCACGGGATTCACCCATTCCAGAGGGTGTCCCACATTCCGAAATGCTCTTGTTTTGCTCTCAGACGTTTCAAGGACCAATCATCTGGAAGACCTTGGAAGATCAAGTTCACCTGCATCTCCAGAGAAGTCCGGTATCGCTGCTTTTTAGCTAGACAAGTAGGGAAGAGCGAAATTTTGTCATCTCCATCATATTCTGATCGTTCATTATAGTTTATATCTTTATCAACGTTTTCATTATCCGACATCGTTTATTGTATAATCCTTGTGCTTTACTATCGTACGAACGATTGAACAGTTGCAACTTCGTGTCTATGCGAGGGTATAATCAAGTCGTCTGATGCAGGGAGATAGAAAAGAGATAGACGCCGTGTGTTGTCATAAGCCATGGGAACCCTTGCTTCGTGTTTGTTCGCTGCCATATCTCGTCACGACCTCATCATTCTGTAGTACCACAGTACAGCTTTCACGATAAACCAAATCACCTCTAATTCAGGACGCACGAGATCTCCCAATGGCAACCATCGATACCCAGGACCTAAGAGGGATGTTTAGGCGCTTTCGAGTTCTGATCATCGGGAGAGCAAACGCAGGCAAAACGACCATTCTTCAGAAGGTCTGCAACACCGCGGACGAACCAGAAATTTACGATGCCAAAGGAAACAAGGTGCGAATGATGATTTATGCCATGCATGTGTCTATTGCCGATCAATTGTGGGTAGATCGATGCTGCCATCGTGAAATCCTCGATCAAGGTGTGTGCATCATTTGCCCTCTGGGCATACATGCGCTAACGGACGCTCAGCGTGGAAATCACGACATTACAAATGAGATGGTGTTCAAAAGTAATCCTGTTTTCGTCTTTCACGATTCGTGTGGTTTCGAAGCGGGTTCCGAAGAAGAATTTGAGGACATGAAAAGATTTGTTTCGCAACGCGCACACGCAACGAAATTGGAAAATAGAATCCATGCTATCTGGTAAGTAACTTCCTTCTGATGTTCCGTGCTTGTTGATTACTGTCAGGTATTGTATTCCAATGGACGACCCAAGTCGAACATTCCAGCGATCGGAGGAGAAGTTTTTCTTGGAGTGCAACACTGGGCACGGTGAGCTTATAACTTCATTGTCACTTGCCGTGCTCGGACTAAATGATCGATCTTCAGTTCCCGTGGTCGTGGTGTTCACCAAGTTCGAAGCTCTGCGTCCAGTTGCATATGGAGAAATCAAGAAGCAACTAAAAGGGGTATCAAGAGAAGAACGCTCAAAGAGGATTGCCCAATGTGTCGAGGAACTGTTCATGAACACAGATGTCTTGAATAAGTTGTACAAGCCTGAAAACTGTGTTCGTCCTAAGTCACATGTACGCTTGCAGAGTAAGTGGTTTAGATTGACTTGTCCCATGTCAAAGTTGATATTAGAAACCATATTAGATATGAACCAACTGAATGCAAACTGCAACATTCTACTGGAATGCACCACTCTCGCATTGGACAACGACGAATTGCGACTGTGCTTGGTGTTGACACAGCAATCAAATATGGAGCTTTGTATCAAATGTGCCATTTCGTGAGTCGCAGAGTTGCAAGTTACATTTTTGTTCCAACATCATCTAGAAAAATCGTTGATCCTGCACATCAGCAATCCGCCTCACCTCAAATTGATTATGAAGACTATCAGCGTGAAATTGCTAAGTGGTTTCCACATCTCAAAGTAAGACTAAAATTGATTCAGTCTGACAATTCCCTGGTGATGGTGCTCATGGATGGTAAATATTGACGTGCTGAAACTGTAGACATTCTGATATATTTTCCTTGATTGTAGTTGTCCATCAATAACAGCTGGTAAGATTGTGGTTTACGAAGTTCGAACAGCATGGACAGCACTGATGGGCCTTGTTGCTGCTCGCCTGTTGACAGTATGTAAGTGCCTTGATGGTTTCTAGTCGTCGATCCATGCTCATTATCCCCATCCCTCACTGCTGCTCACCTGTTGATAGCAGGTAGGTGCTTTGATGGTTTCTAGTCCTTGACCTACGCTCATGATTCTCATCCTTCACTGCTGCTCCCCTGTTGACAGCGGGTAAGTTCCTCAATGGTTTCTTGTCCCCGACCTATGCTCATGATTCCCATCCCTTGCTGCTGCTCGCTTGTTGACAGCGGGTAAGTGCCTTGATGGTTTCTAGTCCTCAATCCACGCTCATGGTCCCCGTCCCTCACTGCTGCTCGCATGTTGACAGTACGTAAGTGCCTTGATAGTTTCTAGTCATTGACCCATGCTCATGATCCCCTCCCTCGCTATTACTCGCCTGTTGACAGTATGTAAGTGCCTTGATGGTTTCTAGTCGTCGACCAACGCTCATGACCCACATCCCTCCCTGCTGCCCGCCTATTGACAGTATGTAAGTGCCTTGATGGTTTCTAGTCGTTGACCCACGCTCATGATCCCCATATCTCCCTGCTGCTCGCCTGTTGATAGGAGGCAAGTGCCTTGATGGTTTCTAGTCGTCGACCCATGCTCATGATCCCCATTCCTCGCTGCTGCTCACTTGTTGACAGAACGTAAATGCCTTGATGTTTTCTAGTTGTTGACTTATGCTCATGATCCCCATCCCTCCCTGCTGCTTGCCTGTTGACAGGGGGTAAGTGCCTTGATGGTTTCTGGTCGTCGACCCATGCTCATAATCCCCATCCCTCTCTGCTACTTGCCTGTTGACAGAACGTAAGTACCTTGATAGTTTCTCATCATTAACCCGTACTGACGGTTGCTGCTCCTCACCCGTTGACAGGTGGTATGTGTCTTGATAATATCTTGTATTGAAATGATACTGAATAGTATAATAATGTCAACTCGTTTTCATAGCCTAACGTAAGCATTTTCTATTCTGTCAAATGAGTCGAGTCATCATTACTCATATAATGCATAGTTCGTTGAGTGTCCATCCTTGATAACTTATTTTCCGTGTCCATTCATCTTGCACATTCTCTTGCCCTGTGTAGAATGTGAGTCATTTGACTCTCATAATGCGAAGTATTAAGTGTATCAATCATTTTGATTTTTTTACTCTATAGGATGTGAGTGTGTTTCAATCGCTAAGTGTTCTCTATAGAATCCCTTGTATTCATCATGTGTTCGCAGAATGTGTGTTAATCATATCCTATCTGATATGATAGTTCTCCATCGTGACTGGCATACAATCTTGTTTAGCTTGTACGTCCATGGATGGCATATCTTCACCATTACACAGTGATATTCATCTGTTTCCAACCCCTGACAGTTTGTAAGTTACCTGAGCACAGCAGTCATTGTCAACAATCTGCTGATTAATTATTCACAATTGTCACGTCAACCTAATAGAATGTGCGTCTCTGTTATTAATCAAATGCCAATTTTCCACCTCATTTGCTTTCCTGCAGTGGGCAAGTACTTTACTCTGTGGAGTTGATTATGATATCCACACTTTCAACCTGTGGCTAGGCAGTAACCAAGCGAGATGACATTATCCGCGTCCTTCAGCCTTTAGTAAGTTGGTTTTCCTCCGCATTGATTCTTAGCACTGTAAGAGTGTGCGACAGGTTGCGAAGGGATCATTCACTGCTGCTGCGAACAGAATTATCCAGACTGGTATTGGTTAGTTTCTCACCGCATGACCAACTTGTAGTGTTAATGACAGGAAGCAGCTACTATTATCGTCCTCGAGTACTCCGCCTTTCTCGACAGCTCGAGGCACTTGGAGCGTGTCGAGTCTGCTGTGGACTACTATCTGAATTCTCCAACGGCTGTCGCAGTGGAAAAAGAAGCGGGAGATATTTCTCGTCGAGCGTACGACAGAGAGGAACTGGAGAAGAAGATTCTTGGGTTCATTCTTGAAAATCGCTTGTGTACGTCCCTCGTCTGGTTGTGAGCCTGGAATACGAAGCTTAATGACAGCCTGCAGCAAAGGACTTGACAACAAAGTAGATGATGCTCGAGCCAAGCTTCCTGTTTTCGATGCGTTTTTCCCCTACGATGCGCTCGTGTTGTGCACGACACCAAGCACGCCAGCTTCAACTCCTACTACTGAGCGCTACAGACTGTATCAAGTTTCAACACCCGTTTTTCTTATCAAATCGCGTTCTGTTTTGTGCTATGTAGATTTAGGCTTGCGCTCGTCAAATGATCGTTGTTCATTCCCATTCCCAGTTTGCTCCCAGTCATGAGAATTCGGGAACCAGCTCGGTATGCTTCAGTGCTCAAGCGGATGGGCATGACAACTGACAATATTCTCGATGCTCGTCGGGACATCACGCAGTCTGGGGGAGTAAGCCATGTACATGAAAGTCTGGGAGATTTAGAACAGATAAATCATCCAGGAGGCAATACACCCTTGTATTATTGTCTCGTAGTTTAACATCGCTTTATTATCTCGACAAAGGTGAAGATATCGAATAGCAAACCAAGATGACAGGAAATTACATGGACCAACAAGGTAACGCCTGAATAAGTTGAAGTCGGATGGGAAAGGTAGGCAATAAAGGTTCGAGCCCCAAAAAGTAATTAACTAGGCTCGTGACCAGCCTAGCTTATGGACAAGTCGAGCCAGGGAGAAATTTGGCAGGCGAAGCACGGAGTTTGAAGGTCTGGCCCGCAACGCGCTGCCTCACTGATTTTTGGTCGCATCGATCCGATCTTCTTTCAGCTCTGCCCAAGATGAATGGGAGCTCCTCATCAGAAACACATAGCGGCGTGCACGCCACCGTGACAAGATGAGGGATGACGACACCTCAATGTAACATTTGCCTTCGTGAAAACGACGAGGCAGAGCCTTTGCCCGACCCTGGTAAACGAGCGGTTAGCATATCTCGCTGAACAGGTACATGGATTTTTCGTCAAATTGCAAATATAAAAGACAAATGGCGTAGCTCAGAATACAATTGACACTGCGCTATCCTCTATGCAGGGCTTTTCTGACGATCTGCGTTGTATGATCGAGCACCGCGAATCCTCGTAAAGGGCCAGCGGATATTTGAAGTCAGGATTTGTGAAGGGAATGTTTGAGACTACAGGTTGTAATAAACAATGGTCTTAGTATGTGATACGTACGATGAAAATTAAATTCACTGTCAATAGGAATGAGATCTGAGGCGTGATTCTAAACTAGTTCTGTGTCCATCATCGGAACTACATGAATAGTCCTCACCACGGTCAAGCGAATCAATAATACCGTCGCCTTTGTTTGCCCTTTTTATGCCTCTTCACTCGTGTTAGCCACCGTCTGCACCTTGCAAACTGGAAGAAGCTCTGAGGGATTTGAGATGGGTATTAACGTCGCCCCAAGTGTCCGCAAGCTGAACGTTGGGGAGCATGGTGAAAATGATGCGAGCGACAGCTTCAGCATTTACTGCCGGAGAGGAGTAATAGCCAATACTTTCCAAGGAGGTGTGTTGAAATGACTCGGCTTTAGGATTAATATCAATGTTCGCGACATCGATTTCTACATGCAAGGTATGCAAGTGGGGACATTAACTGAGCACTGCGAATACTCCGCGGAAAGTAACTTTAGGTGGTCGATGATGCGGGTCGAAAAACGACAAACTGCGGATCTGGGGCCAACTTGACATGGCTTCGAAAAGAGAGACGTTATCAGGGTTGATGGAGCAATGAACATAAAGCCGAAGGGATCGCAGCTGCGTGAAACAAAGAAGCTCCCTAGTCACTTCAAAAGAGTCGGCTGAGGGCTCATCAACTTCTGGATCATCGTCGGAAATGGCAATGTTTTCAAGGGTATCGCATGCTTTGCACTGTGACAGCGCTCGTAAAAGCGGTAGAAGTTCTGCCCCAGGTAAAATCTGGTCGACCAACTCAAATTTTTTTAGCGAGGGGAATTCTGAATGTTGTATGACTGCGATGACGTCTGTGATTGGTGCACCACAGAAACGAAGAGTCGTAACGTTGAGGAAAGTTGAAAAACTGAGATTGTGCGTGTCCAATCTGGACAGGGAACCCGAAAAGCTTTCTTGATATATCGACATATTAAGAAGGGTAGGGACAGTGGAGAGGTGCTTCCATGCTGCCGAGTTCAGCGGGGGACATTGCAGACGTACGAGCGCCTTGCATGAACGGATGGTTTCAGACAGATGTGGAGCCTGTGCCACGGCCCCCATTGTCACGATATCCAAGCCCTCCAGAGCAGGGCAGCGGGTCCCGATAGAATGCCGAGCTAAATCTGGTTGAACTATCGCGATATAACAGCTACGCAGCGTAGGAGACAGGAAGAAGCGCAAGTATCTTGTGAATATAATCACCCAGGACAATGAAAGCAGTTTTGGAAACACGCATGTGTCGTAGGAGAACGAACGAACGAGGTGAAAATCATCATCAGATGACACGCTCATGGTGCGCACACGGCAGGAATGACGGAGAAATTGACTGCGCTCGAGCTCAGATAGTGGCTCAATGCCCCGAGACCAGGATTGCTGTGTTGAGATGTTCGGTAAGCGAATGGACGAAAAAAAGAACATTGATCTCGTGTGGACTCGTCCGCACTAACCTGTGTTGTAGGGTATATCATTGGATGCAACCTCGTTACACAGCCCAGCAGTGGTAGTAACGTATTCATGTCAGACCAAAGAAAATCCATTGCAGGCTCGTAGAAGGTTTTGCATGTGGTTGCAAGCGCTGCAAGAGTTCGTCGAGACAATGGTCTCGCGGCATATGTATATGATGGTTGCTCGATTTCATTTACATGCGCAAAGATATGCAAGACAACTTCGGGGACAAGTAGAGCCTGATGCATACTAGTTGTGCGTCGAATCGTAGATGAGGTTGCGGTTATCTGATTTATGTCACAGTAATGCCTGTGACATTGTCAAATGTGACGTGTGATTGTGGAAGCCAGGTCACGTAGAGGGTGGCAGATCCTCGTAGGACTCCAGGGTATCTGAGACCCGTGGAGATGTAACTTAGATCTGATAGCACGGATGACCTTCTTGCTAGTCAAGAGAGTATATCAGCTCATGATGTTGCGGCTGAATTTGCGGCTCTCAAGGAGTCGAAGAGGGCCAGCTTTGCACATGCTATTTTACATGAGGTTGAGGTGGTTCTGATCAATGACAATATTGGTGAGGATAACGATAGGACAAGGCAACATCAATGTCGTAGTTGAGAATCTACATAACCTATGGTTACGCTGCCAAGCCGGCGGCTTGGGCTTCGCAAAAGTAAAGCCTAGGCAAAAGCCCTGGTAGGGCCGTGTCCTAGGCCTGGTCCAATCAGGGCAGACCGTGAGAGGAGTTAGTAATGCGTTTGGATAAAACACCAGTTTTTCAGGCGTCGTAGATTATCGTCTGTAGTTGAGGATATTCTTGTATTGTCCCCAACGGGGACTCCTGGCATTCAAGCATATTCTTCAAGTCACGGCTTTCGAAGAAAACGGTGGCCGAAGAAAGAACAAGAGAGAGAGGACCATGGCATGACTCTGTGTGGGACAGCAGTTCTCGTCCGAGTTTCGAACTGACTGCAGGATATTCGGGCGAATTGCGTGGAGTAGAAATTCATTAAACTCGTCACGTTGTGTCGATGTGAGCTGTAAGGGTACCATACAAAGATCCTACGGCCCTGCAGATTGTCCTGGCCGCTGTGCCATGGTTGTCGATTATTAGGGGACTCACAGGCAAAACCACCCGGACCTGGGACTCCCACGCCGCATCGGTGACCTCGTTGTCGTATGAGTGACTGTGACACGCTGCTTTCAAGTATAAACCATTTGACTTGAGTATGTCCCTCGAGCAACCTTCGAGATAATACCATCACCTTCAGATCCCCTGTTCAAGCTTCATCTAGTGACGATCAACTGAAAGATAAACAACTTTCCACTAACCGATTCCTATGCTCCAGACATTCTTGGGACCACATCCGAGTCGCCCAGCTCGGCGACCAGAAAATCACAGTCGCACGCAAGTCGCACGGTCAAGAGGTATCATTAATCATTCACGATAACAAATAATTCCGCCAGACTCGTCTTCAGCTAAGTGGTGCATGACCATCAATGCAATTTTCTTCCTTTAACATTGGAGACGAACAAGATTTCAGATTTCATGATATTCTTGCGGATCATTGTTTCCCGCTCTTGAGTCGCGTCCGATCAAATGATTACTCTCAGGTGCATCTGAAGTCCCATCAGGTACGCATATCCTGCCCTCTGTGACCTGTCCAAGGTTTGACGACCATCTATTCGCTATGACTCAAGGATAGTGCGGTGAGCTATAAGAATGTGTTACTGAGAAATTCAAAACAACCTTATGCTGTATAGGTACACGATACGAGTCCTGCACCCGCGTCTCCACGAAGACGAATTTCCTCCAAGGTGTCGATCTTTCGCAGTGTTTGGAGCGCGAACGTTGAATACCCGCCTCATGACTTCTGTGTACTAAGCAAAACACACATCAGACGACAAGCAGTTTTCTGGCAACATTCCGTTTCAATTACCAATTCAACTATTGAATCTGGACCAATCGCCACGTTAACGTATCGGTCAATGACTATGCATGACCATCTCAGTCACAGGAGACAGCGTTCAAGCATTCGAACAAGGATCTCCCCCATCATCGAAGATAGAGAAACTTTCACGACCCTGGTTCTCTCTCCGCGATGTTCGATAGCCCTATATGCTGTCTCTGCTCCGCGAAGCACCGGAAAGTCATCCACAGAGAGTACTACCAACGTTCCCGTCGAGACCTCCACTACTTCACATCTCAAGAGTATGGATTCCTGTTCCTTGTCCTCACTAATGCCAAGTGTGCAACGGCAACGAGTACTCATCCACCGACGGGTCTCCGCCATGAGCGAACGCAGTGTACCCAGCAACAAAGCTGTGTGAATAATAGTAGTCAAGACTCGAAACTAACACATAGCATGCTCCTTTTCCCTGGGATGATCGATCTGATCTTTGACGGAAATAACCTCACTCAATGCATGGCGTGATCCTTGCAATGTCCTGACATACTCACGGACGGATAATCAATATGCCCGAGCTCGCGAGTTGACCGATGCAGAAGTTTGTTCGATTCCATCAGACGGCGAGCCTAGTATCCGTGATAAACGTGCAGATACCAGGTGGACTTTCGAACACATGTGTGGGCTGGAATGCTAGTGGCATGTGGGATCCCATCATCAATAGTGCCATTTCATGAAGAATTCAATCCAAAATGGAGGACGACGATCCAGATGCGGACAAGCTTTTTTTCACGGCTTGGTGTTGGAGGTCTTCGTGCACCGAAGACGCATGTTCGAACATCTTACGGGTTACGCCCAGAACAGCTACCATTGTATCGAGACGAAGCAGTCATCGGCTTCTGATGAGGACATTTCTCAGCGCATAGTGCTCATCAGTATTGGTGTATGATTAATTGCGTGCGTTCTCCCACCTTATTCATTAAATCACTTTGCGTGTAGCGTCTAGCCGTGGCTATGCGCAACTTGTTCGCTGGAAAATAAATTTCGATATTTCGGACTTTGAGCCTGCATAACTCTCTGATATTCACCTAGCCGTGGCTTCTATCTATATCCCAGCCCATTGCTTCGGAGCCAAAGGCGACCGCTTCTAATGTGTACAAGTGCCTTGTTGGTAAGAATTACTTACATTCAAGGCGTCAAACCGTACTCAGATGACCATACATCTAAAGTGCGACTCCACAGAGTATGGAAACGTACTTGCGGCATGTCGTCCACTGCGGGTTCGCAACGTGCATCCAGGACTCTGGACGCCGATGATCATGATACTACTGGACTACCGGTGGCGAAGTACAACGCACGGCGAACTGGATCAACATGGTGTAATGGTGGAAATTTCTGTGCGTTTGCGATTAAAGGCGGACCTATCAATAATTCATCGATTTTGTAACGAACCGATCGGATGAGATGATGTTGTCCGTGTCAGATCATGTGAAATCTATTTACTGTCTTACGCGAATCGTAGTGGAGGCGTTCTTAATGTCTTTTCAGCCGTCATGCACCGAAATATATTACTACTTAGTACTTACGAAGGACCTGGCCCTGACAGAATAGACAGATCATAGAGGAATAGAATGGAATGGAAGTTGAAATGAATTTGGCCATAGTTTACGCTCGGCTCGATCGTCACATACGGCCGGCATCAAGGCACTACGGCAATTTCCGACCACCCTCGATCCCTTTCGTTGAAGCTCCAGAGCTCCAGTTACCAAACTCATCACTATGCGTCTATCACTCCTCCTTGCATTCATCCTCCCCTTCGCAGTATCCGCTTCTTTCCAGGAGCAAATCATAATTCCACCAATGCCGCAAACCATCGCATCACCGTTCACCAGCTCCCAGCCCACGCTCGCAGACCTGCTGACTATCGAGTCTTCAGCGAGCATTTATTACTCGTATGCTCGAGAAACGGAGTTGTCGTCTAGATTCTCTTCTGAGTCTGTTTGGTTTACGATACTCGTACCGACGAACAAGGCTGTCATGGCACTGGCACATAAACCGTGAGTATGACATCGTGTGTATGCGGACGTGATTCAATGTGTGGCTTGGCAGACACCAAGGTCCGGAGCCAGTGGAGCCTCGTATTGGGATATCAGAACAAGAGTTGGATGAAAGCTCTAAGAGAAATGTAGAGCGATGGGTCTCGGCCCACATCATTCCTGTAAGTTATTTGTTGTCGCCTGTCGAATCTTCCCTCATATATATTCGTCAAGTCTCGTATCTCTTTATCCGATGCCCCTGTTTCGTATGAAACGCTGCAAGATGGGAAACTCGTTACCTTCAACCCTGTTCCTAACATAATGCCTGACTCGCCTGAGTGGATGCGGGTGACTTTGGAGGATGGAGTGCGCATAATTGGGATGAAGGAGGTCAGTTTAGCCATCTTTTGTGCACTGCGTTCTGCGTTGTTGATTGTATACTCAACAGGCACAGAACGGCGTATTGTATCTGATAGATGGTACCGTCGTTCCAAACTGATTACAATCTCTATCGTCGCTCGACATATAATATATCATATTGTACGACCTTGCCGCGTGTTTGCGAGCCGTTCCCTCTGAATTTTTAAAGGGTCCAATAACTGGACAATGACTGATAACATTGTTGACAACAGTGACGACAAAGTGATGCTACAAACGAAGGTGGGTGTAGAACGGTTACAGATGCGATGATGCGTTTGGATTGGTAAAAGTAAAAGAAGAAGTTGTTACAATAGAACTGAGCTGCTGTTCGATGGATCATGCGAGGAATTCTAGCTTGGCTTGACATAAGGACGAAAATTTGATTGATTAACGCACATGATCCGCTCTCCATTCCGTGCTGAGAGCAGCAGCGAGCGGAGAAACAGGAGGCTTGACAACGGAAGTTGATGTGCACGGTATATATGGTGGAAAAAAGAAGCGAGGAAATTGGATAGCGACGCAAATAAGCAGGCGTGAAATTCGATATCGAGAGAGTTGAGTGCGAAGATTGTTCGTGCAAGTGAGGCTGAGATGAAGACGGCGATGCGTAGTATACGATTACGGTTGCGAAATTGCGAATGCGACTTGAGACTGATGATGTTGATGTTGATGTTGATGTTGATGTTGATGCGATTAGAACTGCTTTTGTTATTGCAATGCGAGACAGATGAGCTTTTTCTGGTACTTTTCCGAGATTAATGGTGGAGATGGGCCAGCCAGGTATTGACCGAAGTATTGCCTGTTATTTGAAGAGACATTTTCAGATCGAGGAAGCGAAGACGCCGTGGATGAAGACGAGACGAGATGGGAAGAGAATATTGCAGTGGATGTCAAAAATCGGAATGGAGAGAATGCAGGGCAGGGAA